ATGAGTTTCGTGACTTCATGGGAAGTCACAGATGTGTCTTGGGAATAATGTACATTTTCAGAGACGTTGCTTCCATATAAAAGACTATTTTTCCCTTGGGGGTTTATTTGGTCTTTTTTTTTATTTTTCTTCCGCGTCGGTTCTCGTGGAGTTCTGTGGCCTTATGAAAGGTAACTTTGGTATCCTAGGGATGTTGTATATCCCTAGAGACTTGTTTTCTATTTTCGCTTCTACATTTCAGATCCATTATCGGGTCAAACTACGGTTCATCACAGGACGCACTGGCTTGAAAAACCAGGGCCGTCACAGTAAGAAAAAAAAAAAAAAGAAAAAAAAAGAAGAGAAAAATAATACCAATTATTTGTTCAAGCAGATGCCACAATCCAACATAATCTTCAGAGGTTATAATCAGACAAGTCTTCAACAATATTGAAATTGATGTCTAACCCTATAACATGGATAGGTATATATAGACAACAAAGATTTTCTATTTGTACTGGGATTTGTATAATTCAGTGCAAATAGGAAAATAAAATTCTAATCCAAAGTGGGATAGAAAAGGGAAAGAGGAAATCTTATAATCCAAAGTTGGATAGGAAAGCCTTTTACAGTTCAAAGAACAAGTTGGATACTTTAAGTCCCACTTGAAAAATGAGACAAGTCCTGTCAAACATGGGACTCGAAGTGGGGGCAATTTGTAGACACTAAAATTTTAATGGGCTTTGGTTTTGACAAATTGACCCATCAAATATGGGTCTAATGTTTAATTAAGTTATTTAATTGATCCAAACTTGGTCCACTTAAATTATTTAATTAGCCCAGCCTAAATGATTAAATATAAAGATAATTATTTCTAATAAAATATATTTGGAATGATTATTTTTAAGGATAATTATCATAATATAATTGGCCCGGCCCAGTTATGATTTTTTCCTTATCAGGAGAGGACACGTGTCATCATCTTATGGATCCAAGAAGCCTATAACTAGAGGCCTGGAGGAAGAAGGAAAAGACATAAATTCAGAGTCCAGAAATCCAAAAAATAGAAATCCAGAAGGTCTAAAAATTAAGAGACTCAGAAATGCAGAGGAATGAAATACAGAAACTCTGCCCAAAAACGAAGAACACCAAGCATATCAAATCGTGTCATTCTTCATGCAAATTCCACGATGATCAACAACAAGCACATCAAATCGTGCCGTTCTTTATCCAAATTTCACGGTGATCAACAACAAGCACATCAAATCGTGCCGTTCTTTATCCAAATTACACGGTGATCAACAACAAGCACATCAAATCATGTCGTCTTCATCCAAATTCTACGGTGATTCAAGATCAAGTTTGTGCAACTTTTGAATCCAACCAACCAAAAAAAAGGAGATCGAATTAGAGGACCTTATTCTTTGTAAAGAATATTACAGAGAATTATACTCCAATTTTTTTAATTTAATTAAATATTATTTTTGCTCTTTATTTTGTTCTTTATTTGCAGATTACAAAATTTGTTCTTTATACACGTTTACAGATTATAAAACTAATTTAGAGATACTCATACAAGCATGAAAATGTTATTATGAAAAAGGTACATCGTGTGAGTCTATATATATATATATATATAGTACTTACACGTTAGTTGACATGAACCAATTTCTCAAAAAAAAAAAAAAAAAAATATGGTTCACATGAACCAAATTAATAAATCTTTATTTTTTTTGGTAACACGAAATTAATACATTCGAACTTTATTATGCAAGAAAATTTTGGTAAGAATTTATTGTACACATCTACTTCCTCCATGTTTATTCTCCTTGATTGCTTTTCGAGCCTAACATCATCATTAGATGTAATTAATTTTAGAGAATTGCTTTTATAGTTTTGAGTGTACTTATTTATTTTTTTCCATTTCTAATTAAGTGGAGTTAGCTATATAAATTTTACTTATTTTTCAATAGTTTAAAATAGTTTAGTTTTTACCATATGTGTGTTTAACTTTGGTGAGATGTAACACATTATTGGGATACTCACCTACCCATGGCACTGGGTCATGTATACAGAGGGTGTCAGGTAAAAAAAAAAAAAAAAAAAAAAAAAAACTTTGCAACTTATATGGTACTTTCGGAACACGAGGTTGTAAGGTAAATCTTGTTTGAGATCCTTCACATCTGAGCCACCATAATGACGGTTACATTTTTATTATGTATTATGCATTATTTTTTTTATTTTATTCTATTCTCTGAATATTTGCATCCTTTTCTTACTAAATCCTTTGTTCCCAATACGGACCCATTGTTGAATCCCAATATCTATGTATGATGATCATAAGCACACAGCCAAATTGAAGCAATGTATGTGTGTATTAATTGTATAGATCATTTGTCCCTTTTCTTCTATGTCAAATATCAGTTGTATATATTTTGCACACCACATATGCAACAAAAAGTAGTGATATATTGGCATCTTGATGTGACTGAACTTCAATGGCAGCTACGTCTACTGCTAGATTTATGCGTTGTAGCAAAACCTGTGAAATGTGGGCATGGCCCGTGGTCCTTTAACACATTTATGGAGCAAGGAGAGTGGGGACCACCTGCTTATGGTAGGAATTATTACTATACTTGAACAGTTAAATAAAGAAAGCTTTTCCTATTCCTCCCATTTCTATATAAAAATAATACTAATATAAATTTAATAAAGTTTACATATATAGAAATTAATTATTTTGTGGTAGTACTTTATTGGAAGTCAATGCGCTTTGATATCACATCCTTCCAGACACACTTTTTTGTACAAGTACCTCCATGGTATATATAAATTCGTGTCCACATGTTCATCTTCTCAAACAGCTGTACCCCACCATCACTTCAGTTTTTTTTCTGGCATAAAGCCAAATGGGAAGACAACAAAGGGATTCTACCTGCCCCCCCCTTTTTTTTTTAATGCTTAAAAAGCTTTTAACTGTTAAACTAAGTCGCTTAAATGAGTTTAATTAAGGATAAATATATATATATATATATATATATATATATATATATTTGGCAAAAACTCACAGTTTAAAAAGCTTTCACAATGACAGTGAGAGGTCGAGGAGATATTTAAAGACAAATAATTAACTCAACTATGATTTTCTTTGTTAGCGTTTGTTTAGTACACAAGTCTTAGAAAATTCTTTATTTACAAAATGAACTTTTCGGTCCAATCCATTATTTATTTATTTTTGGCATGTTTTTAGATAATGCAGCTACATGTGCATTTGGGCAGTTTGGCAAAATCTGGGGGTTAAGAGTAATGATAGTAATAGATAGACGTTATTATATGATGTAATTCTATTTATATAAAACTCCCAAACTTTCAAACTAGTTATCTTATTCTATAATTAATTATTACTCCATCTGTTTTATAAATAGTGTCATATTTGACTAATCGTGATTCACTAATTTTTACTTCTTCTGTTCCATAAAAAAAAATGTCATATTTAAAAAATCGTGACTCGTGGACACTTTTTATAAAACAGAAAGAGTATTAATTAATTTTCAAATTATAGAAAGAGATGCTCTCATTCTACATATCTACATTTCTCTGGTATTACCTTTTAAAAAAAATACATTTCCCTGGTATATTTTTATTTTCACTACACTTTAAATTAGCATTCACTACAAAACAAATATCACAAATATAACAACAATGTAGCACTTATGCAATATATTATATCTTATTACAACATGGCAATACCATCACTAAATTGAGAATTCAACACATTTACATAATTATTACATTGTAAATTTAAAATTTTTACGCTAGTTGTTGTATTTCTAATTATTGTATTGTCGATTTAAAATTATTACGCTAATATATTGAAGTGCATTATACCTAAAATTACGATTTTGGTTCTTTTTTCTACAACTAACGTGTCTTGGTGTCACAATATAATTTACTAGATTTAAAGGTAGGACACGTGTCGCATGAAATATTATAAGAGTAAAAACCCCTTTGATACATTTGAAGGCAAATGTTGCTCTGGTATTTTTATACTTAGTCTAAGCTAGGAAACGTTGCTATGATACATTTTGGACTGTAACATTTTAAGGGGATAAACATTTAGTGCTTTGTATTCTTTTAAAATTATTAAACTATCCATTTAAAAGTAGTGTTTATTAGGATAAGTGTTTAAAAAGTTGATCGAGGTTATTTAGAAAATAAATTAAATTTTTTTTATTGGGAGACAAGATTTTGGGGGATGACAATTGTGCAATTTAGGGGATCTCAATTTCCACCCCCATTTAATTTTTTTACCTCCATAACTGTCCCCTAACCCACTGTGTTTTTCAAACTAGTCCCCATCTCTGTCCTCATTTATATAATCGGTTTTCCAAAACCATCCCAGTTGGGTCGAGACCTTTCTGGGTTAGGGATTTTTGCCATCCCTACTCTCTCTTCTTTTTTTTTATTTTCACAAGACTTAAAGACATGAAATGAAATGAGGGCTAAGTTTTCTTCTTGTGTATATATATATATATATATATATATATATATATATATATAACTTATTTTAGTAATAAAAAATAATTTAATAAGTTTATAGTATATTCGGGGCGAGACAACTCTCCCCCAAAATTAACCCAAAACCTGTTGAATTTTTAAAGCAGCCGCATCTTTGTCTTCATTTACATAATCGGTTCCCTAAAATTGCTCTAAACGGGATAGGGCGGGACAGCCCTGTCGGGTGAAAAATTTGTCACAAAAACAAAAGTTAATCATATTTAGTATGACAATAATGATAATAAGTTAGATTTAAGTTTCAGTTTAAAATCATAGTTAGAAATTAGGGTTAATTAATTGGCACAGAACTAGGGATTCTTCTACTATTGCTAAACCTAACGGTGGGGGATGATAAGGACAACACAAAAACCACTCACACCTTAGAAAAGGCACATAATATACTTTCCTTTTTACCTCATATATAATTCATGTCTTCACTCATGACATGTAATTCGCGGGTTTAAACCGTTCAAGTACCTTCTCTCACGCTACCTAAGATTCTCTCTCTCTCTCTCTCTCTACTCTACTCTACCCTACTTTCTCTCACTAAACCCAAACAAACGAGGGTTTCTCTCACTTTCGCACTCGATTTCCTCTCACCCATTTCTAAATCTTATCCATAAAGTTGATCTCTTAAGCTTCTTCGCGAATTGATCTCTCTTCTGAGACATTTGCTTTGCATTTCCATGCTGTTTCAAGCCTGATATTCAGTCAACACGAGGTGGGTTTTTTATTTATTTTTTTCTCTTAGTGCTTTACATCTTCAGTTTATAATATTTCTGGGTTTCGTTTTATGATAGATGTAGTGAGCTTGCGTTTCATTTTTTATCCCTATTTGATGTTGAATCAAGTTTATTTTATGTGTGTAGTACAGTAAAGATTGAAGCTTTTTTTTGTTTTTGTTTTAGGGTTTCATTGTATTGAAGAATTTTTATTCTAATCTACCCCAGTATATGTACCTTTATTAGAGGATGAACCTAACATTTTTCATTCCCAGATTAAGATGCATATGATTTCCCAGATTAAGATGCATATGATATTGTGATGTATAAAAACTTATATGGGTAAAATTCAAGTCTTCATTTTTCTTATTATATTTTTATATCTATTAGTGTGTGTGTTTATATATATGTATGTACAATTATGTATATTCATATGCATGTGTGTATTTATTTTCAAAACATTCTTCAGGAAAATCTTACTCGGGTTTGTTTGATATTTTGATGGTGTTATTTTATGATATTATTTGAAACTTTTTATGTGTTTCACGTTATGGTTACTTCTATGTTCAATATGTACGTGTTTCACCTTACGAATTACTTTTATGTATGTGAATCTTAGAAGTTATAGCAACCTATTATTCTTTATTCTTCATTGATTAGTTACTGTTTTTATCATTGTATACTTTATTAATTAAGCAAACTTCTTCTTTTTCCCCTATAAATGAAACTTTATTGAAGAAAAGAAAGAATAGCCCATTGTAAATGTTGTGACATAACTTGTCGTTTCTGAAAATGTTTTAATTTGTCAAATATGCAGCCCATTGTATGCAATATCACATTAGATCAGCAATGACGTTCTAGCTTTGTATATGAACTTATTATGTAGTGGTTTCGACTTAGTGGAAAATCATATTGCGTGCTTTGGAACTTTAAATGCACCACTGACAGTTTTTTTTTTTTTTTTCCCTTCTTACCTAAAAGTCAAAAATGTTATTTGTATCACAAAGAGTTGTCCACTTTTTCTCCATTTTTGGATTCCACTTGAAGTTGTTAATACCATCAGTTTCTGCTATAGGATTCAATTTTTTAAAGACTTCTGTTTGATTTAAATTGAATATATGTAAGTGTCTGTGTACCATTTTTTTCCCATTTGGTGGTAACTCATGTATGACTCCTTTCACCGACTGGTGCTTTTGGTTTATCTAGTAAAAGTTTGTGCTTTGTTGGGAGATATCAAATTATTTGTATTCTATCTAAAATAGCGGACATGCAACATTTTGTACTTTGTAGAAAGGTTTGCAATGGCCAGTCCTACTTGCTTCTCTTTCTTTTCTTTTTTTTTATTATTTTATAGTGAAGCCATTTTGTGTTCAAATTAATGCACTTGTTAAGTAATTTCCTTATATGATGTGAAATGTAGAATTATGCAAAAGCAAATGAAAATTAAATACTTCTCTTTAATCTCCTGTGAGGGGTTTAAGAAAATGGTTTGTTATCAAATTTGATATTTTATGATGCAAGTCATTCATTTTCACTTTCTGTATCATTGCTTGTAATCTGCTTCGGAATTTTTTTATTTTTCCAGACAATACCATGACATGTATCCAGATAATATAATTATGCATATATGTCAATCCTTAACTTTGAGCTGCTAATCATCTCAGTTAACTTCCTGAAGATGGAGACAAATGTTATTAGAGAGAGAACTTGTGAAACAAGTGCAAGCAATCTTGTTACCAAGTCTAACAATAACCAGACATCTGCTGAGTTTGTTAATGATGTACAGAAGAAAGTGACGGACAAATGCAGTCATTTCTCTATTCGGTAAGTTCAGAACATCAGTATGTTGTAAAATGAGAGTTTTTTGCTTCACTTTGAAAGTACCGGTCTTTGATTAACATCAATTCTGAAATTGTGCACATGTAGATGGCATAAATCTCATGAATAAAATAATATGTTACACCATATTGTCTGCCAGATTCATCATTAATCAAATTTCTTGAAGAATAGTTTAGCTTGAAACTATGTTTGGAAGCACCGAATGGAATTGGAGAAGATTTAGTTCAAAATTTAAAGTAAATTTCCTTCAATTCCAATTCCAAGGCACCAATTCAGTACTCCCAAACGGAACATGACTGAGAATTTTAATTCTTTATAGCCTTTCTTTTCCATGTTGAGACAGATATATGGGGGTGGCGACACGGCCAGCTGTAAAATTATGTCAGATCCTTATGATAGATTCTCGTATTAATTGGAAAAATAAAAATTTTAAAAACAAATTTACAATAGCAGCATGCATTATAAGGACATTAAACGGTAATTGTAGTGAACTTATGTATACCTTACACAAGAGAAAAATCAACATAGCTTGCCTACGAGAAACCAAATGGTTCGGTAAATAGGCTAGATAGATTGGAGAAGAGTATTAACTTTTTCACGTAGTTGCAAGGATAACTATAGAAATAAGTAGGCATAGTAATAAATAGACTGAGATATGAAAGTCAAAATTGTAAAACTTAGAAGATAAGGATATAAATTAGTAGCTATTAAACTTGTATTTGATACAAATATAGTAAATGCATATGCTCTACAGGTAGAATTAGATGAGAATATAAAAGAGGCATTTTGGGTGTCACTAAGTGAAATGGTACAAAATATACCAAGTCATGAAAATATATTCATAGAAGGTGACTTTAATGGACATGTAGGGGTTGACTGAATAAGATACCCATGTATTCATGGCTCCTAGTCTTTGCAAAGGCATATGATTTATCTACAGCAAATTATCTAGAAAAGAGAAGGACAAAGGCTACGTTTGTTTCAGTGTAAAAAATTCAGGAATTTTTTTTGGGTATTTTTTAGTGTTTGGTTGCACATAAACTTAGGTAAAACATTTTACACCCAATCTACAAAAATGATTTCCCAATCAAAAGGCAGTAAGTTGTTTTACAGAATTTTAGCTAAGAAAAATCTTTGTATTGGATTCTACCAGACCATGGACATTGACAGAAAGTAAGAAGGTCTTCAAGTTAGTTATCAAGTTTGGCCAACCGGATTAGTCAATGCCAACAGGTTGTAAGAACCACACGCCGGAGGGGAGTTATGTTTTTTTTTTAGAAGTTGTTTTGGCCTTGGAAAGAGAAGAGGTTGCCGAGGTTGAAACCAAACCATTAGATCAAGTGGAGGTCACGTTTTTAGAGATCTGCTGTCAATTTTTTCATCTTGCAGTCAATGATGGTGTCGCTGCCAGATATGAAGCTGAAGTAGGAGCACATGGCTGTTGCTCTTGTTATTTTCTTCCTCCAAGAGTACTTTCCCACCCTAGCATTAAGTCTCTCTCTCCAAACTAGAGTATGGTTGATAATAAAAAGTGAAAACTATACTTAGGCTTTTGAAGAAATTATGGGAGAGTCCTTTGATTTTTCAGTTAGCTAATTCTAGTGAGGGAATATTTTCAATATTATTTATATGTGAATCATTACTAAAAAGTAAAGAAGAAAGCATCTAGTTTACAAGCACAAGAAAATGAAAAGAAAAAAAAATATTTTATTGGTAAAAGTTTGCATGAAAAAATATTTTATGTCAGAATAAATAGAGCCATAATTACATTTAAAAGTGGCATGAATAAAACATAAATTGGTTATTGTTTATATAGAAGAAGAAGATAATGAAGGCAAGCCTTCACACAACAATAAAGTTGCTCCATTGTGATTGATGGCGGGCCTTGGCGCAACGGTATGGTTCCATTGCGACCTGGAAGTCATGGGTTGAAATGGAAAACAGCCTCTCCACATGCAGATAGGGATGGCAATTTGCCGTGCCTGGTCGAGTACCCGCCCCGCCCTAGCCCTTTTAAACCGGTTTTGGGGGGCCGTGTATAGGATTTGGGCGGGGATGGAGTTGAGGGATGAAAACATGCGTTGGTTCGGGCTGGGGCAGAGGAAGGTCACCCCGCACCGCCCCGTTTAGACTACTAATTTTCTAATTTAACCTCATTTACGTGCGCGCGCGCACACACACACACATAAAGAAGCCCTCTTAACTCTTCATCATCCATTTTCAACTTCATCGACCCAAACCCCTCAGGCCCTCACAACCTCAATCCCTCACGACCACCAACCACCGTCACCTACTGTCAACCTCGCCAACTGTCAGCTTCCATCATCCTCACCTACTGCAAGCTTCTGTCATCCTCACCGACCACCGGCTTCTAGTGTACGGTCAATTCTCTCTCTCTTTATCAGTGAGTCTTATTATTCTTCCGTCAACCTCACCAATCTAATAAATGCATCAGTAAAAACTTTTAATGCATTTAGTAGATCTATCTATAAATGCATCAGTAAAGAATTGGGATAGTCTACCTTGTCCTTGCTTTGTTGGATACAATTATCATGTTTGTTAGGGTGTTTCTAGTAAGATCTAATTTTGGTTTACAGATATTGTATCTGTGAATTAACAGTCACTTGACCAACGTTTGTTCATTTATGGATTTCATTTTTGCTTTAGTCGTTTATTTGTGTTGATTTGATGTTTCTTCACAGTTTTTAGTCCTCTCTTCTCTTCTGTATCTTTTCCCCTCAACCCCTTCCTTCAGAAATTATGTGTTGTCTACCATATTTGGTCGTTGAGGGTAGAAATTATAACTTTTTTCTTTTCTTTTTTGGGAATTTTTTTGGAAACAAAGAGTAAAGTTTTTGAAGTGAGGCATTGAAATTTATCCTCTACTTAGTCAGTTTTTAATTGGAAATGGTTTTATTTTAAAGAGAATGGCTAGATTTTGAGAAATTGAACATCTGTACTTATTTGGAAATGGAATGGAAAGGCTATGGCCTAATGGTTTAAAATGAATACTATATATATTAATGGTGAATGCATTGAGTCAATACTGTAACGACCCACTCTACCACATGGTATGATATTGTCCGCTTTAGGCCAGAGCCTGCACGGTTTTGCTCTTGAGCTTTACCCGAAAAGACCTCATACCAATTAGAGTGACACAACTACATATAAGCATTTCACCTTTCCCTTTCCCAGGCGATGTGGGATTGTGCACCTGTAGCTCGCCCAGTGTGGTAGCCTATCAGTGTCTCGCACCCGCCCACAGGGTTATCACAATCCACCCCCCTTAGAGGCCCGACGTCCCCGTCGGCACACTTTCAGCTGGGTCAAGCTCTGATACCATTTGTAACGACCCACTTCACCACATGGTATAATATTGTCCGCTTTGGGCTTGAGCCTACACGGTTTTGCTCTTGGACTTTACCTCAAAAGGCCTCATACCAATTGGAGTGACACAATTACATAAAAGCACTTCACCTTTCCATTTCCCAGGCGATGTGGGATTATGCACCCCTAGCTCGCCAGTGTGGTAGCCTGTCAGTATCTCGCACCCGCCCACGGCACACCAACCCACGGCACACCCGCTCACAGGGTCATCACAAATACGAAGGGTAAACTTTTCTAAAGAAGCAAGTAGGGTACGAGTTACCCTTGGGTGTAAGATCCAATACCCACGTGGTAGATCCTTATTTGGATATTGAGGGTTGGGGCCATGCCGGTGTGAAAGGTTGGCCAGTGGATGCCTCTCGGAGGACCACCATTGGTTGATAATTGCATTCATCTTGTTGATAATGAAAAAAGTTTGAAATTATGGATTGTTTATGTACTATTCCTGTTGGAATTGAAAATGGAAATTATGGACTTGTTTTATGAAATGTTGTGGCCTAATGAGAATGATGTTTTAACATATGAAATGGAAATATATTTGAATAGTGTTATTTGAGACATACTTGGTTTATTTATTATGATTGTATCTGCGATGAACCCAGTTGTTCAGTTCACTTCTAAACATGTTAAAATCGTTCTTATTTGCAACTGTTGAAAAGAAAAGTTGTTTACTTACCTTGAAGAAAATTAATGTGTTTTCAACAAAAATGGAAACCTATTGGGCTCTTGTAGCTCTCCCTATTTTATTTAAAAAGCATTTTCAGGTTTTGAACGCGGTGAGCGAAATTATGGCATGGAAGTGAGGAGGGCTTGAGATGTACTGTTTTGGAAACATGTCATCTTGTTGTAGTAATAGTTTATTTGCATTGGTCATTGTATTAACTAATGCTTTTGGACTATGTAAATACTGAAGTGTTAGGACTTGGAGTTCAGTGTACCCTTTTTTTGGGAATGTAATTGTGGACTCTTGCATAATAAGGCCATATAGATATTTGATGTTAAAGACCCTTTTGATTTGAAGTTAGGATTATTTAAAGTGTTCTATTGTGGATATTGAACTAAAATAGTTTCCTATTGAGGCATTTGTTATTAACTCACCTTTCCGGCAAAAGGGGTGTGACATATCATAACTTGTTACTCATTATATGGGTGTATGTTTTCCTTTTAAAAAATTCTATTATTTTGTATAGCATTACTACATTAACAAAAGTGCATGTTGGCAAATAAATTGTTTATAAGAATTCAATATATGAAACTCATACTACACCCAACTTTGTTTGTCGTAAAAATCAATGTCAAAGGATATACATAATAGAACAAAACATTTTGTATTAAATCTTGTTTCCAAACGTAATTTTAGAGTACTTTGTCTGGCAATATACTCTTTCCCCCTTTTCAATGGTAACATTAACAGACTGCTAGGGCAAACCCAGTGCACGAGGCTCCCGTCACTGCCGAGTCTAGGGAGGGTCAGATTTACGCAGCCTTACCTCCTCGTGTGGAGAGGCTTTTTCCTTGTTTTGGACCTGTGACCTATTATGCTATTTATCCTAACAAGTCATATCTATTGTGAATGTAGTGCATATGTTGCTGAGATTCGTAGAAAAGATTGGAAGATTTCTTGGCCATTTTCTTCAGTTGGTGACGGTGAAGAACAAAAGGAGCAAGCAGACATGCTTCCTCCGTTACACATCCCTGAGTTCAGATGGTGGGGTTGCCAAAACTGTCTCCGGAGTAGTGGTGCTACAGATGTTGCGGCAGATATTAGAGTGGTTTCCAATTGTTACGTTACAGGATTAAATTCTAATGTAAAAGTTTCCCGTGGGAATGCCATCTAGTCATATCATAGTGATGAACCATTGTTGCTTTCTGATGTTGACAGCATCTGAAGAGAAAATTTGTGAAGGAAGGAAGGCCGGTGTAAATGCTTCTATGGACGTGATTGAATATGAATGTTGCCCAATGGTATATAACAATATGAAAGAAAAGGTAGCTGATGTCTTATCAAATGTCAGAGAAGGTAAACTATCATATGATCTTGAGATGATCTCAATGTTGTTTGAATCAACCTGAAACTTAAATGTAGTGCTTGTGTTTTCTGCAGATGTGCTTATTATATCTAGAAGCCTCAAGAACGGTGCAGCAAGGGAGGTGGATCAGACAAGACCAAAACCAGCTCTTTCTGAAGAAAAGGATGCTCAATGCCTGAATGAAGAAATATTCAATGATGATGCAGGTATTTTCTATGACAGTTCCAAAACAGATTGGCATTAATTTAAATTATCTGATTCAAACTGTTGTTGCCTCAGAAACAATAAATCTCACTTCAAAAGTTGGTGCACTGGTCGAACTTGGTAAGCCAAATTGTGGAACTAGTGGGGTTGATGAAGTTGGGCTCGGTGCCCAAAATCCAAAATGTCCAAGCAACTCTTCAACTGAAATCTGTCAAATGAAAACCAGCATATCTAGAGTTTCTGAAGTAGCAAAAATGAGTGAACAAAAAAGGGATGTAATGATATATCATGAGAAACTTGGGCAGGTGAATGTGGAAAATGAGGATCTCGATTCTCTCGTTAGTCATTGTAGCAATTATTTTTCTTTGAAATACAATGAGAATGATGAGAATCAGGAAGTGGATAATCTCCATATTCAACGTCACAGATATGAGCAAGGTGATTCAAGCCGAACTCTGATCTGTAGTAAACCACCAAAGGTCCGCTTACTGACTGACATCATGAGAAAGGAAACTCAGGGTGCTTCAACCATCATTCCCAGTTCTAATGGAACTACAAATTCTGGTAACATTGTGAACTCTGAAGTCACTCGAACTAAAGAAACTGATGGCTTAAATTTTGACACCCTTTTTAAAAGTCTGGTGCCTGTTCAGGAAAATATTGGAAAGGATACCGTGGGTAAGGGAAAGAAAAGGAAGATGCTGCAAGTTGAAGACTATGGACCTCTGCAGATGAGGTGGTCGATGAGTGCATTTGGAAATGTTCAAATCTGTAAGGGAGATGAAGAGAATAATTGCATTAAATCTGCAATTGCTCATTCTGAATCAATAAATGATGCATTTGCTGGGGTGGATTTACATAGTGGTCTAGAAACACAATCAAATGAATACAGGCCTGATGGAATGGTTATTTATAATAAGAAGGAAGATAGTATGCATCATTGTGAAGATGGAAAGTATTGCCCAAAGCCTTCGCAAGAGAGTTTGTCCAGTGGACTGCAGCTTATGAATAGATCTGTAGAAAGCAAGGAAACTGGTGCTGGAACTCTTCAATTCAAAATGGCACAAAACATTCCTGATTATAAATCGACCTTTTGTATGAATGAAAGTAATGTTCCTGAAAATGTGCAGGAGACTTTGATACCTCTGCAAAAAGGCATGCGGAGAGAGGACTTGATTAGGGTAAGTGGTACAGAACCCTCTCAAATTGGAACTGCTATTTCTTCATTTGGATCTGCTCTGTATGCATTATCTGGAATAGGCATGCATCCTGATGCTTGTAGGAATAAACCTACTTGTAGAAAGGCTTTTGTGGGTGGGATGCAAACAAACATGGCTCTTGTTGAAGGTGAGAGTTCTCGAATGTATCAGGATGGTGCCGTTAGAAGCACTGGAATTGAACTTGTTCCTGGTAAAACAGCACAAGATACAATGTTGGAAAGAGCACTTCATACTTCTCTTAACTATTGCATGGATACAACAAAAAGGAATACAAAATTGTCATTGCAGAATAATAAAACAGAGGTGCCTCAAGTTGAAGGTGGCATAGCTAACTTTATGCCTCATCATGAGGATGTGAAGAAAGCAGAGTTGGTTACAAGCGAGGATGTAGGGATCAAGCCTGCTGTAGCCAATAGCATATCTTTACCATGCCCTCATTCACCATCCGGAAAAGTTGCGCATTGTGGTTTGAAAAGTATAAAATCTTCACTTAGAAAGGCTAGCACAAGTACGAAACTAAATGACATGTCTCAAGTTCAAGAGCGCGCTTCTCCTTTAGAGCCAAAGGTGCTTTCTCTTTTTTGCTACTGCTAGTTTCACTGGTTTCTTGTTTGAGAAACATTTGATGTGCTTGAATTTGATTACATCTTCCATTAGAAGTAAGGCTGTTAGTTTGAGTGGTATGTGTGAGAGATTGATATGCATTGTTGGGCCCATTTCCTAACAAAATGAACTTTAAGGTAGTTGGTATTCTAGCATGGTATCAGAGCTTTGGTTGGGAGGTATTGGGTTCAAGAATCCACATTTGCTTATGTTCCCATGTTCTGTCTCTCTGTTTGCACTATGTTCAGTTCAGTCTGTCTGCCTCCTCACATGTGAGATGGGGTCACACGGGAGGGAGAATATGGGAGCTTGACATGCATTTTTGGGTCCATTTCCTAACAGCTTCACGTTTTGGAGCATTTGGTACTCTAATAGTATCATCTGCTAAGGTGGAGCATTTGGTACTCTAATAGTATCATCTGCTACCCTTGAAGAAGACGTGCAGGGTTCATGTTCTGGTAGGGACAAAGTGATGCAATGTTGTGTCTTACCTATAAAAGGAACAAAAGTATGTTTTGAAATACTAGCGTACTAGATGTTATTTTATAACCCTGAATTATCTTATCATAATGAAAATAACGGTATGGGCTTAATTTTGTGGGAGGAACCTTGGCTTCATAAATTTGTCTGGCTTGACAATCTACAATAATTGATATAATTATTAGAGCCACATTTTATCAAGAGTAAAGCTAATCATTTAATATTAACTTGAAATGAGCATGACTGATTGACTTAATATATTGTCACCTTTTCTTTTGAGTTTTGAGTGCTTTTTCCTTTCTTTTTATTCTGTTATTAAATTGATTTTTTAGGTGCGAGTTGGAGGAATCAATCTATTAGGGAAAGAAAAAAGGGTAAAATTTGCAGTTAATTGAAAATGCTCATTACTTCAAAGACCTGCTTCTCATTCCGCAACTTGAGTTGTGCCTGCTGTTTCTATTCTTTATCAGCTATCTTGCATTGTGGGGGTTATGTTTTTGATATTTTGCATACTTTTTGCATATGTTCATGCATCTTTGTATATGTGTTTAACTTATGTTCTTTTTCTTTGCACTTTATTTCTATGGTTTATTGTGTACATTTTGTATATTTGATCATGTGTGAATATGCTCGATTAGTGAAATATTTTATTTGGCTGAATTGATTTTTTATTTCAGGATTGTCCCATCATATGCAATTACAGAAACAACATGGATGTTCAAAGGCATTCAGAGTTCTTAAAAAACAAATCTAATGATGGAGCTGATAAGGTGTATGAATTGGATGATGACATACCCATGGAAATTGTGGAGCTCTTAGCTAAGAATAGGCATGAGAGGCGTCTCATTGAGACTGAGAAGGCTAATCGAAATAAGTACAGCATGCCAGAAACAACAAAGAATGTGAAAACTGCTGATACAGTGGAGCTCACAGGAGTTCTTGAAGATGAGATGGCAGAATATTTACTGGAGAAGGACTCTCGAATGCAAAAATCTCAATCCAGCAATGGAGGAGGTTGCATATTTGCTACAGATAGAAGTGTCGAAGTAAGACCGGTTGGAGAAACATCATTTAAATGCAATTCTCATAATAAGGAAGCCTGCAAAAGCATTGGTTCCAATGTAGACCATTTAGAAGAATCTCACGACACTAAGGGCTTATTGGAATTTCCAATCTCTCAAGGGAACCATTCACATGAAAACGAAGTTGCTGAAGCTGGTGCTATTAGGAACTTTGGTTTTCAAAGAGGCAGATGGAATTGGGATATACCGGCCCAAAGTTGTCCTAACACTTGTTTACAGTGTTGTTTAAAAACAAGTCCTAAAGGTTCTTGTCCAAGGCAATGTAGAGATGCACATCATGTTTGCTTCATGAATATGGCAGATGGCCCTTCAGAAATTGACTACTCTCAGAGGTTTGCAACCCTTTCCCGGAGGCAGCATAGAGACTTTGATTTGAAGATGTCTAAAAAGATGAATGCAGACCAACCATGTGCTTGCACACAGAAAAAAGTTGGGAGCTGTTCCAAGCTTGTTGGTACTTCAGATCTGTGTTCTAATAAAAGCATGTCAGCGATGCAATTGCTCAGACTCATGGATTCAGGGATTAGCTCAAGCACATCACCTAATGTAGATAAAAACATTGAGTTTTCTAAGAAGCCTTCCTTTCCCCGAAATTATTATGGTAAGGAGCTATCTACACTGAATGATGGAATATTTAAGATTAGAGAAGCCTCTAAACAGTCATTTCCTGCTTGCTTAGGCAAAAATCATAGCATAGGGGAGTCGGGGAAACATTTTCCTTCAGAAGAAATGGTGTCTCATAGTTCTAAATCTCGGGAAAAGACAGTAACGAAAAGCTCATGTTTACCCATGCCAGCTTCAGATTTTAGATTAGATGGCTCTGCATCTGGAAGTGGAAGTTTGGGCAGAAATCATAAATCATTTCCCATCAATGGTTTGAAGAAAGGATTTCATTCTGCTTCAAACACTATGGTGCTCCCTTTGAAGTCTCATTTGACTGAAGGTTCGATTAATAATGCTGAGGTGAACAAGAAGGGTGAAACATATTGGCCAGAGAAAGGCAATTGCAGGACTGGGATCTGCTCTGTTAACAGAAATCCAGCTGATTTCAGCATACCAGCATCAGGAAATGAATTCATGAGAGAAGGTGCAGATATAAAATGTAGGAAAAAGATTGCAAAACGGGGCAGACCTAGACTGAAGATGATGAAGCTCGTGGCTCTTAAAGAACCTGCACAAAATTGAATTCTCAAAAGTGCTGGAGTAAGAACCAAAACTTTCTCAGTTAGAAACTGTGTCTACTCTTATGGTTTGTTATTGTTAAACTTATGTAACTCTTGTTTGTGCAGTATCCAGAGCTTTGCTTGAAATTTCAAAGAGAGAGCATGTGTTCTGTTCCCAGCCGGTGTAATCAAAATCTAATATCTCAACTAGCCTGCTACAGCTGCTGAAAGACAATGGAATCTTATAGTATATTTTCTACTCCTGTATGGTTGGCCAGGCTAGACAATTGTCATGAAGTGATTTTCAGCTATCGTGTTTTACTCTTCATCTCCGTACGTGTGGATGTGTTTTAAGTCCCATACGTAAATGTCAAACCAGGAAATGAGGAATTTAATTATATATATACCTGAACCTCATTTGAAGAATGTTTACAATCATATTTTCATGGTGAATGATAGTGTAAAGTAGGGCATATGCTCTTTGAAACCTTTGTAGTGTTGTAAAACTTTCCGTACCTTGGTGAGTCCATTATTATCAGAATGTCACAGGTCTCCATTACTGAGAAGGACTTTTCAGTTTAAACAAAAAAAAAATACTATTGGTTTGTTAAGGACTTAAAACCTTATCAAATGACTTAGCTTGAATGTCCTAATTCAGATGCTTAACCCATGCCGCCCCTTTTTAGCCTTGACTTAGCTTGAATGTCTGGATCTATCTGCAATTGATTTGAAGTGGGTGGAATTGGAATTTATCCAACTACAATCTATTCAAATAAAATGGAAATGGGATTTTCACTATTTACTTTGTTTGACTTAAGGTTGTTTGATTGAAGGTTTGTTCAGGTATATTTGCAAATGATGTTTGTTGTACTATGTCCTGATGTATTCTTCAAGTTATATCAGGGGTGAATGGAAAAGTAAAACAAAATGTGGGGTTTTTCTTGGTTATTATTTGTTGGATGCAGAAAATGATAATGAAAATGAGAAGTATACACACACAAAAAAGAAGAAGCTAATTTGCTCAACGAGTTTGATAAAAAGAACATTAGGCCTTTGTTTCACCTCTTTACAAGTTAGGGGTTTGAATTCTTGAGACTACCATAAGAAATATTTTGATAATTGTCCCAAGCATGTTAGAACTGAAAAATGTTCATTGGTGCTAAAAGTATATATGTTCATAAGTAAAGTTATATGTGCGTATATTGTATTTGTAAATAAATAATATACAAGTAAATTTATAGTACATTACTACTTACTAGTACTATAAACTATGGAGTGGTTAAATATTCTCTGTCTAAAAAAAAATGTCTCTTTTAAAAAACTATGACTCCACAAAGTTTTTAACAAAAAAAAATGACTCCGCAAAGTTCTCAAAAAAAAAAAAAAAAAAAAAAATTTCGGGATAGAAATAGTATTGAGTAAAATTCGTTTGTTGCCATACTACCGAACAAGACACAAGCCCTGTGAGGCCCAATACTGTTCATTGGTGGGCCCTGTCTTGTTTGGTGATCCGCTTTCGGTTGCATAATATCTTACTGGCCTAGTATCGGATCTCCATTTTCCGGGCCGGGCCGTTTCACATCTGCAGGGGCTAAGCAAGCAAATACGACCATTTTTTATTGACGTACGCGATCGGAATGAATTGAAAGAAAGGAGTACAGGGTTGTGAACTAGCGATCGAACCATTTCCGACTTTCTATCAGGTACTTCTGACATTCTATTCCATTATTTTAGTGTGTGTATATATTTCTGTGTGTGAATAGATAATTTATATATATATATATATCGATTTTTCTGTGTTAAGAGTGAAATAACAGTCTATCCTTAACTATAAAAATCGTAGTTTAGCTTCTATCACCGATGAAACGATAATTGAGAAACCCATAAAAATTTGAAACTTAAGCTATTTTAGATGCTTGGATTATCAACCTGTACGAGAATTCTGATGGGTCAAATATTTATAGTTTTTTTTGGGTAAGGCAATTGTTCGATGAAATGCTTCACTGAGAACTAGAACTGAAGATTCATGAACAAGATTTTTTTTTAATTGTTTAAACTTGTGTGGTTTTTGGGTTTTTGGTAGTTGCTGTGGAGCTGAACTGAAGTGAGAGCTCAATTATATGATGGAGAGTGAAGAGGATCCGGTAAAGAAGGCGCAGGTGGTGGAAGCCCGGGCAAGAAATATCAGTCACAATGTGAGGTGCACAGAGTGTGGTAGTCAGTCCATTGAAGACTCACAAGCTGATATTGCCATTCTTCTGAGGAAGGTAATTCTTTTTATATTTTACCTTTTGTTCATTATGTTCGTGCATACATGTTTGTGCATGGACGTAGAGAATTCTGCCAGTATTCCTTTACTTGATCAGCAACACTGACAATGGGTTGTAGTAATCATTGTTGTTGTGAATTTATGCTAAGCTAAAATATCAAGGAATAATTGCTTGCTTTGAAATGTGAATTTTTTGTTGGGACCTTTAAGGGTCGGTATTGGGAGCTGTTTTACTGAAAGAGGTTGATTTGGTATAGTTCTCTCACTTTGTAGAAATGTTTGTGTGAAACTTGATGTACAGTGAGAATTGCTGCAATGAGTATGAATTTTATTTCCTGACCATAGTTATTATTCTTTCTTTCTGCACTAATATTTTCCGTGATTTTTGGACCTTATGTTTCCTCTTCAAACCACTGCATAAATCACATATATAGACATGAGCTGTTAGCACTTTTTTGTAGAAAAAAAAAGGCCATATAAAATGGCACTGGACAATTACTGGCGTTTCACAAATGTGCCTTTGCCTAATGTTGACTTTTGGAACCCTTCAATCATCCGCCATAAAATCTTGAAACAGTCTGCCTCATGTATTCTAAGAAAATATTACTTTTTGGTATCTCGATATTATGCTCCATAAACTTGAAGGTCTTGTTTGCAGAATCTGATTGGTTCACAACCACCAGATGATACCATAGAGGACATTTGAATCACAATTTAGCATGGATAACATCCTTGGTTCCTCACTTCTTAATGACATATCCTATCTATCAGTAAAAGCCACCCTATTTTTTTTTTTTTTTCTTGTTGGTAACGTAAGCTTTTGCCAAAGCAGTACTGCATCACTAAAAAGAGTTAGATGAGTATTCTGGGAATAACAAACCCTGTTCACAAGATTAATCTTATGGTAGTTTGGAATAAAGCTTATTTTACCCCCAAGCTGTTTTTTAATATATCAAATATTGTTGGACCAAATGAATTAAGAAGTTCACAATAAATGATTTTTCCTTTCTTCAATTGGCTCGAATTGTTAAATGTTAAGGTCACCCATTCTTCCAAACCATGTAAATTGCTGTAGGTCGTTCATTTTTGGTTTTCCTGTAATTGCCAAGTTTATGATAGACCAGAAACTAGATTTAGTGCCTGTCCTCTTGGCTTTCTTTTCAAACTCGTGTCCCATGTTTACCTTTATTTTCTTGATGCTCCTCGTATTACACATACACCAATAACGCTACTAACTATGTTGCATTATTATTGCAGTTAATTCGTGATGAAATTCAGTCTGGTAAAAGTGACAAAGAGATCTTTAAAAAGCTTGAGGATGATTATGGGGAGACAATACTTTATGCCCCAAAGTTTGATTTGCAGACTGCTGCTTTATGGCTATCGCCGGTTAGTTTAAGAGGATCATTTTAGTCTTTTCTCTTCTCTTTTATATTCATTCAGAAAGCTGATTTCTTTATATTGGCTTTTGGATCAGTTTCTTGTTGCAGGCACCGCTGCAGGCATATGGGCCTTCAACAAGCACAAGCAAAAGACTAATGTGCATGTCATGGCTTTGAACCTTGTAAGAGGTGTTCCATTGACTCCTAATGAGAAGCAAACCATGCTAGAGCTCCTCACGCCTCCTCCTTCCAAACGAACTACTCTCTCCTCGTGGTGGAAGAAGTGGCTTGGCCAGTGATTTACCATACTCTCTCGTTGCCTTTTTATCTGACTTGGTTTTGAACTTTGTGGAGGGAAACTAAAGAGAGAGAGAGTTGCCCTACAGTTTGCAAATAGAAGAACCAACTGGTTGCTGAGTTTCATGGATTTTTAGCTAGGTGGCCTTCACTTGGTCTATGATAAAGAAAGCTTTAGACTATCATATATAATTCTGTATTCCAGTTAGTGTTCAAATTTAGTAGACTCTATTAAAAATATATCGTTCAGGAATGTGTATCATGTTTGAAATATTATTTACTGATTATGAGGTTTTGATTATATATATATTCAACTTGTTTGAATTAAACCTCTCTCTAGAAGCAGCTTTTTTCTTTGTTCCTATCTCTGCACCTAACCTACCTTCACAAATTGGGAGTCAACTCTCTTCTGGGTCCCTCTAAGGATTGTAAAGAGTATTATAGCATTTTAATTGGGTTTATTTTTTATCACAAGTTTAGTAGAGTCAATAAAAGCTTGATCAAAGTCATGCATGTAGATATCAGCAATTAGTACTTGTGTTTACATGAAGTTTCATATTATATTGCCATTGGACTTCAATTGTTTGAAAATTTTCATCACATTTTATAAATTCTACAGAAGCAAGATCTTTGCAAAAACAGGAACATATTCTTGTTTATCTGAGAGCTTAGTTGAACTGCTACTTGTGATTAAATGGGTAGGATTCAAGCCACTGAAGAAGTAGAAACTCCAACCTATGGCATACCGGTCGGCTCAATCCCGCTGAAACTGCAAACAGGAGAGAGTCTGTCAATCGGAAATCCCTGGTCCACGGGGTTATTCGATTGCCATGAAAACCAGACAAATGGTATCTTTTATTTGTTTACTTGATTATGTTCTTTTAAACTTGTTATACCTTGGTACTCATGCTAGAAGCTTTTATGAAGAAGACAAACCTTCTAAATGTCTTAAATACTTGATAAAGAGGGGGATGAATTAGAAACCCTAGTAGTAACTCTCTTCTGTTTCAGTTTGGTTCCTGTGGAGGGTCTAACACAAATTCCTTGAGCTTCTTCTGACTAATTTAATAGAATTTAAATTCTAATTGGAATTGTTCACATCTGTATCCAAGACTTGATGGTTCTTGTTTTGAAGTATAGTTGTAGGAAAAAAAAACATGTTATAATTTGATGGTTCTTGTTTTGAAAATTCTCTTTTTTTATTTCTTAAATTCTTTTGGCAGCTGTAATGACGTCATGTCTACCTTGTGTAACGTTTGGTCAGATAGCAGAGGTATTGGATGGTGGAGAAATGAGTAAGGCTTATTTTCCTTGCCTCTCATCTACTTCAATAATTTCATTTTTCTCTCAATAGTGATTTCTATATATATATATATATATATATATATATATATTTGCCTTTGCAATGGTTCAAAGATTTTGAAACACCCCAATAATAATGGAGGTCAATTACAATATCTTAAGCTTTGTATAAAGTATTGATAGATAGTCTGTATGGACAGCTCGAGCAGTAAGACTTTTGGAAGTAATTCTTTTTATATCTCTGGTTCGAGTCTGATGATTGTATGCATTCAAAGTTTGCAAATTAACTGAAAGTCCAAAGTGACTAGGGATGGATTGATTCTTCGTTATCAAAAAAAAAAAAAACTTGGCTAGTAAGACCTTTGGAGGTAACTCCCCTAATGTCTCTGGTTCGAGCATGATGATTGTATGCATTTAGAGTTTGCAAATCATCCGAAAGTCCAAAGTGACTAGCGGATGGATTGATTATTCGTTACCGAAAAAAAAATAAAAAAATAAAATAAATGGTGATTGATAATAGAATGTTGGTTGCAGCTTGTCCTTTGGAGAGTTTCATTTATGTGTTGATGATGCCAGCCTTGTGCTCTCAATGGATAATGGGGTCAAAGTACAGAACAAAGCTGAGGAAGAAATATGATTTGGTTGAAGCACCATATGAAGATGTCATCTCTCATATCTTCTGCCCCTGTTGTTCCCTTTGTCAAGAGTTCAGAGAGCTCCAAATCAGAGGACTTGATCCTGCTCTAGGTAAAAACTACACATACATGCACATGTATGTTTGTGTTCACGTAAATTTATATATATTACAGTACATTAATATACCCAGTGACAAATCCAGAAAAGAATTGATAGTTTAATTATAAATTACTCGTACTGAGAGCGACTAGCTTGTGTAGTGTGTTTTACCACAAATGTAGTAGCAACATTATTGCAAACGAAAATGTCGATCGGTGGAAGTGGCTGCCCCCACTGACCACAACATAGGTCCGTCCCCTGAATATACCTACAAAATTAGCTGGAAATGTAGTGACTGCTGGAGTTGTGCCGCTCTTGCTTTAATTGGTAGCATTTTCAAGGACGCAAAATGAAAAACGTGCATATTATTTGCACTACACCGACTTCAAAATTTAATTTTGGTCCAAGAAGTAGAAAAGGATGTCACTTGAAAGAAAATCCAAGGGAGAGTTTTTTTTTTTTTAATTATCATTCTGCAGACAATTTGTTATCTGATGTAATTACCAAAAGTAATAACAGCATTTGATTCTGGAAAAAAGTTTAAACCAGCAAGTCCTTGACTTTAATCTCAATGCCTCCACACACACACACACACACACACACACATATATATATATATATATATATCGGGAGAGCGTTATAGAGATGCTTAATTTACACCCTCGCTGAGAGCTTAAAGTTTTAACATTGGAGCTGAGGTTGAAGTGTTGGCTTTGAGTATGACTTGTTTTCTTGGTAACTCCTGGCATTTTTGGTTCACAATTTTCAGGTTTTCCAATGAATAAATGTTAACGTTATTATATATATGTGTAAATTTACCTTATGTAGGATGGAATGGAATCCTTGCTCAGCAACAGGGAAGACAATATCAAGATCAGCAGCTGCAGATTCCTCCAACTCAAAAGATGTCGTCTTGAGTAATTAAAAAGTTGTGATTTCTCATTTAAGAATGTCAGCTACTACTTTCTTTCATTTCATATTTAAAACGTTTGGGTGTTTGAAGTTCTGTTCATTGAAATCAGGAGATATATAAATGAACTTGTTACCTCCTTAATCTCCCAATGTACTACAAGCATGTTTTCTTCCAAGTTTCTTGGCTACTCTCTCTCTCTGTCTCTCATTCTGGTTTTTAATATTTTCAGTATATATCGCTAGCAAATAATTTTGAATAGTTTGATTATATGCCAAGTTAGATGATATATAAATGTTATTCAATTGATATTTCTCTGTGCAAAGGTAAGGTTACATATCTCCTCAAATCTGGTAATAACAGATTCTCGTATACATGAATTTGCCCTTTGTCCCATGGGCGTCTTAAGAATTTGTAATACCTTTGTTTGAATTCATCTTATTACATGGAGGATATGGATTAAAGAAAACTTATCAGATTAGGGTCTTTACCAATCTTGACATGATTCTGAAGAGTACGTTTTACTGTTACCATTTGATCTATACATTTGACTTTCTATGATAAAGAATGAATGGCTAGATTTGCAGTTCATTGATGACATGGTCTCACTTTATGAAATAGGTAGTTATTTTTTTAATCCATTATTTGATAATAGGGTTAATTACAATGACACTTTACCAGGTTTGACATATTTATAGTCATATACAACTTAACTATTTTTTGAACAAAGACATTCTCTGTGATAATTTTGATCCAAACAAGCCCTTAACACATTAGAAAAGACAATATTGTCCCTTCCATATTTAATTCATGTTATTATAAAATATCAGAACTCATGAAAAGTCAAAATTGCCCCTTATATATATACATTATTACCCTTATATATTATATTCATTATTACCCACATATATATATGTGTGTGTGTGTGTGTGTGTGTGTGTGTGTGTGGAAGAGTAGTGGGAAAGAGAGAGCAGCAGCCGCCGCCACCACCATAACCTCCACAACCACCATCTTCTTCCCAGTTCCACCATCATCACACAAACTCAACACCTCAAAATTACACACATATATCTATATATACATATGATTCAAGTAAAGAGGGTCCTCGGCGACAACTGAGATGATGAAAGGCATTTGACTGGGGTTCAACACATACAAAAGCAGAGGCAGCCATTTAACCCTACCGAGTCCAACTCGGACCTCTGCCACCACCGAGTCCAACTCGGACGAGTTAGCGCCCATCACCGCCGCTGTCAGTCAACTGCACCAACTGTCGCTGATTCCATCCAGCCAAGCTATCCACCGGCGTTCAGTGCTATCAGCTCGTCGCCCACAGCCGAGGTCGTTTTCATCACGGCCGAGTCCTCACCAGCCGCTGCGAGTCCTCCACGGCCGAGCCGAGTTCATCCTTGCAGAACTCACCATTAGCTCGTCCCCGCTGCAGAGACGTCCTTAACAAAGAGCTCGGAATGGCAGCGGCGGAGCAATGCAGAGCTTGGCCTTTGCGCCACCGGTCATCGAGTTTGGTGAGGGTTGATAGGTTGGGTTTGGGAGAGGTTGGGTTTGGGGTTTAGGCATCAATGTATGAGATTGGGGGTTTGAGATTTATATATATATCTATAAATCTGTGTGAGATTGGGGGTTTATGTCTATAAATTTGTGTGTACGTGCAATTGGGATTTTTTTTGTGAATTTTTCATGGGTTCAATTGGCTGGGTTTTAGTTGTGGTGGCAGAGGTTGCAGTGGTGGGTGGAGAGAGAGAGAGAAGGGGTGGACAATATTGGTGGTGGCTATGGTAGGGTATTTTGGTTAATAAAAAAATAATTGTATTGGATAAATTGATAATTGAATGTGTTAAAGGGTGATAATGTTAATTCAAGATCATTGGGGGTATCTTTGTTAATTTTTTTAAACTTAAGGGAGTGTCATCGTTTAAAAATGATCCAACATATATATAGTTGTTATTATGTCAAATTTCAAGGGTGTCGTTGAAATTAACCATTGATAATATTACAATTACAAATATATCCCTACGCAATTGCAATTCAATATGTACATGTACATTGTTAATAGAGCCGAACGAGCGAGTTAGTTGAGAGCAATACAGGACCAGACAATAACACTTTTTATGAGCCATCAAAAGTCTTTTTATCATCTTCAATAAGAACAAAAGCAACATTTCAAAAGAAAAAAAAGAGAAAATAATACAAAAAAAAATCTTCTCGTTTAGAATTCGAGGACAAAAGACCTTTAAAACCCCACAAGTCTGCAACCAACTATCATTCATGAAGTGCATCATGAAATGTTTTCATGATATTCATCACAAATTCTTTTAGTGGACTACTTATAACTTCATTTTATAGCCAGACCAAATTAATGAAAAGGTTGTTGGAAACGGCATTAGAAAACGCAAACTTTGGAAGGATTTTTAAAAGATTCCGCTAAGAATTTTTTGCGAATCTATTGACGAGCGCGTTCCTCTCTACGATGAGATGAACGTGGTATATTTATTTTCTCAAATCCGTTTCCGGGTGAATGAGAAATTGGCTCCAAAGTAAGTGATTTATAAAACCTAAATGGGTGTGAATAAAGTAGAAAATGCTTGTCCCACATCGAAAAAGTAGCAAAGCAACCTTGAGTATATATATGTCTAGTATGGGATTTGGGTTTGGGCCCAAGGGCACCCAAGTTTTTAAGAGGGGGAGGACCCAGGCTAGCCTGGATCCGAACCAACTACCACACGCGAGCACCGCCCGCCCGACCCGGTTCGGGCTTGGGCGGGGCTTAATTGTAAGATGGGTCTAACCTTTTTACACAAAGTTGGACTGGGCTTGTGTGGTTGAAATTTATTTTATTTGTCTAGTGGGCTTGCGGGTGGAGCACGCTGGGCCGGGCTGAATTAATGGCCGAAGTTTGCTTGTTGGGCTGGATCGGATTAATCTGTTTTGGGTTTAAATTAAAATTAAAAACCATAAAACAGTTTTTGTTTGAACCAAGGGTTGCACCTTTTGAACCTAAATCAGTTTTGGCTTTCTAATGTCTCATTGGTCCACAATGGTTGCATCCATTCGGAATATGGGTGCATCCATTTGGAATAGGCACCATTAAGCCTATAAATAACCCTTCTTGGATTCATTTCAATATACCAAATTCAGAAAAAAAAATCTTCTCTCTTCTGAATTTACTTCTCCCTCTTTTTCTTTTATAATCTGTTTGGGTTCGACCCTAACCAATTGGGTTCAAACCTTAGGGATTCTGTTTGAGTTCAACCCTAACTAATTGGGTTTGAACCTTAGCCACTCACTTCGAGTCCGAATCCGAGTCTGAGAGTACTTCACCGAGCCGGTTCGCCTATTCCATTGGTTTGAAGTGCTACTACCAAAGGAAGAAAATGCGTTGTATTCTGGGAAATAGACGCCGAAGAGTTCGTTAGCACCGTAGCGGAGGTTTTTTTATTTTATAGTTTTATTTTCTTGATATTAAACTATATAAATATATATAGATTATTATAATATATTTAAATAAATTATACTATAGTATATGATACATATTTGTTCAACACAGGTATGAGTTTTATATATTCGATTTTTTCCGGAGTATAATTTTAAAATATTTGACCACTAAATTCATACATTTGAATTAAGATAGTAATTTTAAACTGTTGAACTTACTATGACGAAGAGTTCCCACTTTATGAAAAATCAAATCAGACTTGAAATAGACAAAGAAACTGAACCACCACCTAATAACCAAAAACTTAACCTTCCATTGAATATGTGAAACGTTTAGATCAACCACATTGTTAAATATGCACCGCGAAACTGGGTAGGTCGCCTTAAATACTACCACCACATACCTACCCTTATGGTTAATTCACGAGTCACACACGTTTGTGTGTGTGTGTGTGTGGGTGTGTGTGTATATATATATTATGTGTGTACAAATTAGTTGGGCAGGTAGAGACTGGCTGCCCGACTGGTGGGGGTTTGCTGATTTTGGTTTAAATGGAACAAGTTGGGACGTTTTGAGTTGTGGGATACGGTCCTCTTTGCTTCAATTGGAAGCTTGTTCATGGAAGCTAGCAAAATCAAACACGTAAACGCAAATCATTGTATTAATAATTTAATAATGTTGGGCCCATAACAGTCTTAAACAAAATTCCAAGGAAGAAGTGTTTCATTTTGAGACTGCATGGCTCGATTTTCAGTCCATTGATGATGATATATATGGTCCTATCTTGTGAATACTATAACTAGGGAAGGCTCTACTCTATTCCATTATTCTTTTTTCATCCATGAAATCTATATGGTGTGATGAGGAAAATAGAATTTTATGATTGAGTATTTCAATATATATATATATATATATATATATGTGGTGTCCAAAACAAAGTTGTATATTCCAATTTATTGTTCTAATTTTGACCACGTTTGGATAAGTAGTAGCCCATTGCAGACTCATAAAACTCTTGCTCATTGTTTCAAACTCTTGTTCAAAATGAGTTGTACTTCATAAGGGAGATGCACTAAAATTCAAAGCTGACCTCTCTTGATGAAATGAAGTGGATCCCATATGTATGCATCAATTGTTAATCACTCCAATATTCAAGGAATGTGGTTCTGTTTGATACAATCCTAGTAAATAGTCAACCAAAAAAAGAAAATAAGAAGGGTCATTAATTTACATGGTGTTAGATGTTACACGTTCTTTAAAAACAAGGAGATGAGTGGCAATACAACACAAATGATGGTGAAGTGTTTTTATCGAACCAATGACGGTGAAGTGTTTTTATCATGAGTAGGAGCTAAAATGACGGTGAAATGACAGGGTCTACAATTAGAGCTTATAATTGGTATCTTGTACGTTTGCTACGGGTTTCAACTTTCAACTGCCCCATCCAAACAAGTGAAATTTCGACGAAAAACACATCAAACAACAAGCCAATCCAACAACCGTCCTGCTTTTCTTCTACCAAGGACAAAAACCTCACATGTACAAACTATGAGCATCATATATATATATATATATATCAACATTCTAGTCCAATGATATAACTTTTCCTCCCTCTAAACTGAACACAGTGAGACACTTCACTAGAATTATTTATTTATTTATATTATTTATGCATAAGTTTTGATAATTTTAAAAGCACTCCAATTGAACTTCTAAAATATTTATAAAACACCTTAATAAAAACTTACAAAAATAATAATAATAATAATAAAAAATAAAATCTCTCCTTGTGTAACTCATATAACAAGAAGATATTTAAATTTTAGTAAGGACTTATGATCATGAATCAAAATCCAGAAAGAGACTCCTCATTTGCGATTGAATTTTATGTTATTTGTATTTTTTATACACAATTTTTGATATTTATAATAGTGCTCCTATTGAACTTTAAAAAATTTACAAAAGACCCTCAAAAAACTTCAAATTTTCAAAAATACCCCTCCTTTACTATTTATATATATGTGTGTGTGTATATATATATAACTACAAACATCTATCATTAATGAAGTGCAACCAATGTCAATTTAAAGAAAAATAATGTGATAATGACTCTTTTATTTTACCTTATCCCAGGACCATGTTGAACAAAATGAAACTTAACAAGTTAAAAGTTGCATTTAATTATTATGTAATAATAAAATATTTGATTATTATATTCCTACACTTGATTTTTAATTCTAGTTGTGAACTATTATAACCATTTGTTACAATGTTTGAATAAATCTTATACATTTATAAAATATTTATAATGCATCATATTGAAAAGATATTAAATAAGTTTCGTTGTGCATTGAATACATTCAAGTCATACTTATTGTGTGCACGGCACATATTAATGAATGGGTGCACACACTCGGCCGCCACCCAATATTTATCTATTGGTGCGGATGCAACAGATAGAGGAAGTACACCTATATGTGAACTATTATTACCAATTGTTACAATGTTTGAATAAATCTTATACATTTATAAAATATTTATAATGCATCAGATTAAAAATATATTAAATAAGTTCCGTTCATTGCGCATCGAATACATTCAAGTCATACATATTGTGTGAAGGGGCACATACGCAAATATGAATGAATGGGTGCACACACTCGGCCGCCACCCAATATCTATCTATTGGTGCGGATGCAGCAGATGGTGGAAGTTCACCTATTTGGCGGCGAATTATAGGGTGTGTTTTTGAATTACTCTAATTTAAATGACCATAACACCCAAATATTTACTGTAATTCTCCATTACCTGACACAGCAGTGAAGTGAGAGCGAGCGCTCAACTCCTCAAATTTCTCACGCCTCAGCGTCCAAACTCTGAAAAGCCAAGAAACGGAAAACATCACACCCCACCAAACCAAACCTAACCGTCCATTGAATGGAAACGAGGATCAACACGCATGTAATATTAACCGCGAAACTAGGTTGGTCGCCTTTAAAACCACCACGCATTCACCGAAAAATGAGCTCATTTAATAGAACTTTCAACCACTCGACACCTCTCAACACTTCTTCTCTATGTCTTCAAGATTCTTCTAAGCCTTCGCGCTTCAAAACCCTCTGTTCTTTCACTCTCCGTCTTCCTACAAACCCTAGATTTTCGTCCTCCCGCTGTCGGCTGTTGTGTTCCGGTAAGGTCTCTTCAAGTTCCTAATCATTTCTTAATCAAATTTCACACGTATATTCTTTATGTGTGTATGTATATATGCATATCCTCTCTCTCTACCTAGCGATGTAGAATGTGTATATATTTATAATCTGTTGTTCTTTTGTTGGTAATTGAAGGTGATTAGTGATTGTTGCCGACCAATTTTGCCTCTCTGCTGTTGATTGATATATTTGTTCTTTTGTTATGAAAAGATCATAATTTTGTTCTTTATTATATCAATTATCTGGGAGTGAATTCCAAGGCTGTGGTTGCCTGAACAGAATTGGATTTGGCTTGGAACTTGAATTCTGTGGAATTCGATATCAATGTTTTTTGAATCACTTCATTATTTTGAAGTCCATGGGGGATGTAAATATAATTCTAAATTCATGTTTTAATCTTATTTTACAGATTCAGATTATAGTACATTTATGGAGGTGGCCAGAGCAGCTGCCAAGCAGGCCTCTGCATCTTCTGAAAGTGTTGCTATAAAAGCTGATCAGAAGAGCTATACTTACACTCAATTGATCTCGTCTGCTTGGAGGGTATCCAGTCTACTATGCAATGGCGCTTTAGCAACTGTGAGTTGAAAATCGCATATTCTTGTATCTTTGTGTAGATGAAACTGCATTTTCCATTTTACATGCTTGAGATGTACGAACAAGCTTGTGTCCAATCTAATGAAGCACTATAGGAAGTTACATTGGGGTTGAAATGAATGTTTTTCTCTGGTTTCTGGTGAGTGAGATGGTGCTAATTTGAAGTGTGCCTAATTTCAAATCTAATCCATTCATCCTTCAACACATATATATTTTCTAATAGTAACATTCTATGCTAAACTTGATAACGTCTCTCTCTCTCTCTCTCTGTCTCTCTCTGTGTATGCGTGTGTGTATGATTATGATCTAGGTTTCCCATTTTATTTTTTGGACATATTTTCATTTTATTGGTATTAATGGAAGCAGTTTCTTACTTCTTTAGCTATGTGATGGTAGCAAGCTTGAACTTTTTCTTGTAGGTTGATGGCGGCGTCATCGGAAATAAGGATCTTCATGGAGCTAGAATAGGAATTGTAGCTAAACCCTCTGCTGAATTTGTTGCTGGAGTACTGGGGACTTGGTTGAGTGGAGGTGTCGCAGTTCCACTTGCACTCAGCTACCCTGAAGCTGAGCTCCTACATGTTATGAATGATTCGGTTTGACCTTAGACATTCTCTATTTTCTGTTCCTTAGTTTCTTCTTTTCTGAGGATTTTCTAACATATTTTATAACAAGCACATTCAGTATTCCTCTTTTTTTCCCAACAAGTACATTCAGTATTCTTTCCAACTTTGCTGTTTGGGTGATAAATGGCTGTCAGACTCGATATAATAGTATACTTTGTGAAGTAGCTGACCAATGCATTCTACTTACATAAGCGCCTAACTTACCCTCAATTACATCATAAGCCATCTCCTGTATGGTATATACTTAGAATGAGTTGGATCATCTTTTGCATTTATGCCGTCTTAAAATTAAATAAATTATTTCATGCTATAAGTTATGTATTCGTCTAGTTTATAACATTTCCATGCTATGATTATTTCTTGTTTCCTTGTCCAATTATGTATGCAGAACTCTTATGTCAATTTGATTCTTAGGATGTCTCAATGATTTTGAGTACTGAAGATCATCAAGAGCTTATGCAGAGTGTTGCAGCTAAGAGTGCTGCTCAGTTTTCTCTTATTCCTCCTGTTCCCAGTATTCCTTCACAGACATCTGAGCATGTTCAGTCACAAACTGGAGTAATGGATGTGGACGGAAGTTTACAGGGGATCGAAAAACTAAATAAGATAGAAGGTTGTTTACCTTGAGGGTTTATATGATTTTATCCCGTGTGTTCAATTTATAGAGCTTAACAGTAATGTTTTTCCTCATACCCCTTTTGCTTTAATGTAGGGGAGGACCCAGCATTGATTATTTACACTAGTGGTACAACAGGTAAACCTAAAGGAGTTGTTCACACGCACAAAAGCGTCTTAGCGCAGGTACTTGTTTGTACACCACGTATGTCATGAGCTTAGAACATTTAAATGCAATTAATCTAGGATTAGTGCTTTTGCTTCATATGGCACAATTCCCTTTTGTTGTTGGCACTTGTAACTCATGAAGCAGTTAACATGGGTTTTGTTTTGTTTTTTTATTTTTATTTTTATTTTTTATTGTTTACATGCAATTGGGGAAGTCATTCCGCTATTAGGGATTTATTTATATGCTATTAGAGAGGTGGCATGCAAAGTACTTTCCTTATAAAAGTTTGACTATAATTTGTTGGCTTCATTTTCTCAATTACTTTCTGAACTATAAAATCTACTGGTGCAACATATTTAGATTATAGGAATATAGAAAAAGATAGCCAATATTGTAAGGCGGAGGCTCATAAATTATAATGGACCCTTTTCACATGTAGCTAGGTTTTTAACGTAAAATTTGAATGTATTAGTGTATATTAACAGAAATAGGGTTATGAATGGACACAAAAATAGGATGAAGGTTTGGCTATGAATCAACTACAGTATGAAATTTTCATCATGAGATATTTTTGTTAGAGGCAAATTGAGCTTACACTTACACCAAAGAGGGGGTTAACTAGGTATAGTAAATAGATGACCATGCTTCGTACTTTGACTTCTTTGTGTTGACGACTAATGTATTATCTTTTATAGTGCAGGAAAAGGAAACATAAATTGTGGTCTCCACTCCATGCTCATGCACATTTACAATTTTTTTTTATCAATTAAATTGAACATGCTTTTATATCATGACTTTTTTGGTGTCAGTATGTGTAAGGGGTAAAATTAAGGTGCTCTTTGAAGCATTTGCTTTGAACAGTGGTTTGTTATACCCATTGTCCCAAAATTATTGTATAAAGTACGTTTTGATGCATGGTTTCAACTATCTGTGTAACTATGCAAGTCAATGATACGCATTGGCGCTTTTACTTGTGAATCATGCAACCTCTTTTCTCAATATTGTTGTTTCTTACCTATTATTATTTTCTGGCATTAACCATTGGGTTTTTGTCTCAATTTCAGGTCCAAATATTGAAAAATGCTTGGGGATATACATCTGATGATCAATTTCTTAATTGTCTACCATTACATCATATCCTCAAATGCAATTTAATTATATTGAAGCATCTGCTTTTCATAAATTATATAAATTGAGTATGTTTCTGAAAGAAATTCATGAACTATATTCATGTCTGATCTGCTGTGCTATCAGAAAATGAACATCAAATTTTGTGTTGTATTGATCCTTAACTTTTAATATACATGTTCATGGGCTCTTCAATGCTTTACTTGCTCCTCTCTATGCGGGTGCCACGGTAATTCCTTCTAGTTTGTTTTTTGTCTTTTGAACTTGGATTGCTCTTTGCAGTGTCCTTTTTTTTTTTTTTTGTTGGAAGATAAATTATTATGATATGAAGCCTCTTTGCACTGTCCTTCCTACAACTAGATTCCTGTTTAATTGCATAGCTCTTTTGATTGTGATATATCTGTTTGTTTTGTGAAAGGTTGAGTTCATGCCAAAATTTAGTGTTAGGGGAATCTGGCAGAGATGGCGTGAATCATATCCAAGAGATGGGACTAAGGTTAATGATGCTGTAACTGTGTTTACAGGAGTAAGTCTCTTATGTCCGGCAGTAAGGAAATTCTATTCTGCATGATACAACAATGATCCTTTTATTTTATCAAACTATTAAGCATGTACAGTCCAATTGTATTTGCTCACAACATTTTATTTTATCAAACTACCAAGCATGCACGCTCCAAATGTATTTGCTCAAAGTTTTCAGAGGGTTCTCATATTTTTATGATGTGATTGTTGCAATGATTTTGTAACATATAGGTTCCAACCATGTATACTCGATTAATACAAGGTTACGAAGCAATGGATCATGAATTACAAGATGTTTCAGCTTCAGCTGCAAGGCAGTTGCGTCTTATGGTAATTAGTTTCAATTGCTTTTCTGATGTTCCTTTTTTATGGAAGGTATTTTGATGAAAATTTTGATTGGAAAAATAGATAGGAATTACTGAATTGATGATGTCTCTTTAGTAATTCTTCTTAATTTTATTTGACGACTAAAAAGTATCTTATATATATTTTATGCTGCCCCATACAATCTCATTTTCTTGTTCCCCTTTACCAAAATTTATTGATGAATACTTAGTCACTGATACGCTGTTACTTATTCCAGATGTGCGGCTCCTCTGCACTTCCACTTCCTGTCATGCAACAGTGGGAGACCATCACCGAACATCGTCTTCTGGAACGATATGGCATGACTGAGGTATGTGTACTAGACATCTACACTAGCCCTTTCTGCAGGCTATTTATTTTATGGGAAAGACAATTTAATTCTATCTATTTAGAGATATACTTACCATGATTCTATTAATGGTTCAACAATTATAGTTTGTCATGGCAATTTCTAATCCGTTAAGTGGTGTGCGGAAAGGAGGCACTGTTGGCAAACCTTTTCCAGGTGTACAGGTTAGCAGATTTCTTCCAATTAGAATTTTTTATGTGGATTGTCAATGGATGAAGAAAGGTTTTGTAAATGCAGCAGCTTGATAAGAATGCACATTATTAGGAACAATCATCTGAGATTTTCTTTATTCATGATAAATATAAATTCTGGTGGGAGCCCAATAATCGTGACTACTGCAGTGATTGACTTTTTCTGGTGAATGTTCTTACATATCTGGGTTTATGACAGACCAGAATTATTGCTGAAGATGAGAGTGGTGTGGGTGAACTTTGCATTAAAAGCCCTTCATTGTTTAAGGAATATTGGAAACTTCCTGAGGTACTTCCCAATATAAATATTATACCCCTCTTGCATATTTCCTTTCCATCTTTCGTAGCTGTTCTAATTACATTCTGCATAATTTGAATGAGATCCATTGTCTTGTAAGCTTTATGTGTTTTGGATCTTTCCTTTCCTTTCCATTTTTTTTTTTTTACTTCTACCTTTTTTTATTTTTTATTTTTTTTTATCTATATATATTATTGTTCTTTTTGTATTTTTTTCTGGAAGTTTATACACATTCTAATTCATTTCACCCTGTTTTAGTTGCGAAACAGATTTCTTATGTTCTTAAAGATTATCGTTGCTCATATATTTCTTGTTGGAGGCTGTAATCTATCTATTTAAATCATTCCCACATTTTTTTTTTTCCGATGTGCTACACCGCTAATCTGCTGGTAAGTCCATTGCTAATATAAGGAGTACACAGGAAATAAAGTTGATAGATAATGACATACAAGTTTTTTTTTTCTAAGTGATGGATAATGACATACAATTGACCTGGGATGAACATCAACTGAATATATGAAGATTAAAAATCAAACAAGAATTTGATGATGGGGACTTGGAGCAGCCACTTTGTGCAAATAAAGCCAAATGTTAGGTTTGTATTCAGTTTTCCCTCCTAGCATCCTTGATTAACGGAGATCACGATGGATAATGACTCTTTTGACTAGTGGCAATACCAAAAGGCCCAAAAAGAAGGTATAAAAGCCCAGGTTCTCATATGTTGTTCCCATCATGTATTGGACCATCGTAAAAGTACCTGATTACTTAGATGTATTGAAGAGTGTCATGGTCCTTTGGTTGCTATGCTTATATACAATATTGATAGTACAACAACAAAAACAAAGCTTTTTTCCAACTATTTGGGGTAGCCTGCGTGAATCCTATTTTTACATTTAGCTCCATCAAAGGTCATGACCTAGTCAAACCACATGTTATTATATCATTCCATTCTAACTCAAATCACATTAACTTTGATCTTCCTCTTCCCTAGTATACTCTCAATGTGGACTATGTTACTCTTCCTAACTGGCGCACTTAAAGGTCTTTGTTGCACATGTCCAAAGACTCCAAACCATCTTAACCAATTTTCTTACATTTTATTTCCAAGTGGTGCTACTCCAATCATCTCACAAATGTGATCATTTCTGGTCTTACCACACATCCCTCTCAATGTTCACATTTCCACCATACTCACCTTATGCATATGTTGTTTTTTAGCGGCCAAACATTCTATCCCATAAGCATGAAGTACGGTTGGTGTAATCGTTGTTCTATAAAACTTTCGTTTCAATCTTAAGGGGATACAATGATCACACAATATACTAGATGCATTCCTCTATTTAATCCATCCTACCTTAATTCTTCTATTAGCATCATCTCCAATTTCTCCTCCATTATGAATAATTGAGACTAAATAATGAAAATGTTCACTTTTTCACCTCTTGATTCTCAATCTTCACTTCAACTTCATTTGTCTTTTCCAGATTTACTAAAGTTACACTCTATACATTCAGTTTTATGTCCTACTTATCTTAAACCCTTTTAATTCTAGATCTTCCTTCCAAACCTCCAATTTGGCATTGACCCTTCCTCTAATCTCATCGATTGAAACAATATCATTGGTAAATAACATAGACCACGGAATCTCATCTTGAATGTGTCTTATCAGCTCATCTATAACTAAAGCAAAAAGGTATGGGCTTAATGCTGACCCTTGGTGTAAGCTTGCAATAATTGAAAATTGATTTGTTTACCCTATAATCGTTCTAACTATTGTCACACAACCATGATACATGTCTTTTATCGTGTCAATATATCCCTTTCCCTTTGTGATCTCCTCCCCCCCCACAAAAAAAAAAAAAATGGTCCTTCATTTTGGATATCTAGGTACCCAGTCATAGGCTTTTTTTAAATCATTAAAAACCATATGGAGATATTTCTTCTTTTCTATATCTTTCCATTAGTCTCCTCAATAGGTAAATATCCTCCATCATTGACCTTCCCCGCATGAATCTATATATCTCATCTTAATCATTGTTTGATCACTCTCTCCCAAAATTTCATAGTATGACTCATTAGTTTAATACCATGGTAATTACAGCTATGTATGTCCCATATATATTTTTATATTAGGTATTAAATACTTTTTACGCCACTCATCAGGCATTCTCTTAATTGTTATTATCTTATTAGACAATTTTGTTAACCAAGATAAGGCATTCTCCCCTAGACACTTCCAAACCTTAACAGGAATGTCATCGGGCCCTAAGTCCTTCCCTAGATCATCTTCGTTAAGGTTATCCCTAAGGTTACTATATTCTTCTAAGCTTCAACTTCCTAAATGATTTTTATTTTACAGCTTCTCAAAATAAAGTTTCCATCTTTCTTTAATTTCATCGTCATATGCTCTATGTTTGCTTCATTAATTAACTTCCTTATTTACATTTTTGTATTTTTCAAAGATTTCACTAATTTTAGTTTTTTGTCAAGCTTTATAGAATCCATATGAGTGTAAGGCTTTAGTGAGGGCATCCCATCCACTAGCTCCTCCTCTCCCAATGCCCTTTGGCAATATCAAAAGAAACCTGTTTGAGACACGGAAAATTGACTCTTTTGACATCAGCCAGACAAGCAAATCTTTGATCATTTGAACAGGGACAGGATGATTAAGCTCCCTGAAGGCCATGTCATACCTAAGGCCGTTTTAGGGCAATCTCGATCATGTTTTTAGAAACTGTGGGCAGGAAGGAAGTAGTCTCTATTCCCATAGTGTCTCTGCTCTTCTCAGGGAATTTAAGCACCTGCTTATCAATGTTTTCCTGTATGACATTGCGAAGCAGAACACAGTTGTTAGTAGAATTCTTAGTAGAGTCATGATATTTACAATAATTTTTCCCTCCCGTTTTGTTTTTACGCTGTTTTTGACTTGTTCATTCCACCACCAAGTTTCCTTGGATAATGATCCTGTCCTTTGAAACTAAAAGGTAGGGAAATATGTTAAGTTACAGCAGGTATACTGTTCCAGTAATAAGTAGGGAATATTTGAGTAATGACTGAAATTTATAATCCTAGATAGAGCAGACTGATGAAATAGGATTCTTACAGCTGACCCCAACTCACTAAGATAATGAAACATAGTTGAGTTGAACAGTTCTTTGTAGAATACTGTTTAGAGTTGCACAAAAAACCAGTTGAACCGGTAAACCGGACCGATCGGATTGTTTCGGTTCGGTCCCGGTACCAAAAACATGGAACCGTTTATAAACGGTTCGATTCTGGTTTGTGGTCCTACAGGACCAACCCGTTATATAAACTATATATAATTACATATATATTTATATATCTTACATAATATAAATAATAGAACAATAGGATTAGTCTTTTAGCCACTCAACTATATATTATGATATATAATAAAATATTATATTATAATAGATTATTATATTATATGTAATATATATTTAATTTTGTATATATATTGGATTGAATTATAAAAAAGTCTAGAACCGAACCAAACTGAATAGTCCAATCTGAACCATGTGCACCTCTATTACTGTTTGTGCTGCCTATGGAGAATTTGTTCATGATATAGCAGCCATGAATAAATGTTTGATTGTCTTTCTGGATTTATATTACTTGGGTTTTACTAGTAGTTTAAATTGATCTCACTCAAGGGTTAGGATTACTTAGAGTTTAGTGTTTATGGGTTCCTTAAAAAGCGCAATCTTTGAGGTTTTTGACCATTCCATTAAGAATTTGCAGCTTGAAGCTTTTTCTAAGGAGTGTTATTTCCTCTTTATTAAGTGTACTTACCAAGGAACCCAAGTGTGATGTTTTAAATCTTATTTTCTTCTACTTCTCTTAAAATAGTTGATGCTATTATGACTTTGTCGAAGCTTACTATTCCAACTAAATTATTCTGTACAAGCTATAGGATGCTATGTATTTCTATTTCTCGGTTTCTCATTCTGATGTATCTATGTGATCATCTGTTAGGTAACTAAGGAATCATTTACTGATGATGGGTTTTTCAAAACTGGAGATGCTGCTAAAGTGGATGAAGATGGATACTACGTCATCTTGGGACGTAAGCATGTTTAAATTTCCGCGCTGTACAATTGTTGACATTATTGTTTGCTTATCATGAAATTGTTATATGGTTGTGGTCAGTTTCTTTGCAAGAAATCTGGTCATGCTTAGGGTTCTTGGAGTGACGGAGCCAGAAATGATTTGAGAGGGGCGCCCTTGAAGAATAATAAGATAAAAGAATTTCAAACTACTATAATAAACGAAAAACTTTAATATTAATTGATATTTTCATTGAAAATTGCTCATACTTCCATTTAGATTATTTTTTCAAGAAATACTCGCTTCAATTATTATGAAGGTAATATATTAAAAAGAACCCAGATTGAATTTTCTAATTTAGAAAGATTGTGAACTCATAGATTTGATATGATTAATCTTTAGAATATTTTTGGTAGACCAAGATAATAAAGACAATTTTAGAAAATTGGTGGTAAACCCATATCCAAAAAGTTCGGGATATCAATAAAAAACTAATAGATTAGAGAATCAATAAATAAGTTTAGAGAGGGAGAGTAAATAAGCTAAAATTCCTAAACTCCTCCATGAACATATATGTATATGTGTGTGTGTATATATATATACATGTTAAGGGGTTTACCAAAAATTTAATGGTGGCACTAAATAAATGAAATTTGAGTGGGGGCGGCCGCCACTGGGCAATACATGGCTCAATCCCTAGGTTCTGGCATTCTATGGATCACTTTATAAATGCATGTCTGATGGATATAATAGCATCATCGGCCAATAAATACTTCCCTGATATTGTAGAGTTAAATTGTTACGGGGCTTGGTTGCAGTTCTATCTTCTAATTGGCTCCTGATCTAATAAATAATGTGCAAAGGACTTCTGAACATATAATAACTAACCTTGTGAACATATAATAACTAATCAGAATGTTGTTCCATGGAACTAACAGTATATTCAAATATATGGTCCCCTCTTGATATCGCTCAATAGTGTTAGACTGTTGGTCGAGTTCATAACATTAGTATGTGTAGCAGAAAATTTTAGTTGTATTAGATTTTTCCTTACACTAAAAGCTTTTCGGTCCTCTAATGTCAGGCAATAGTGCTGATATTTTGAAGGTTGGTGGATACAAGCTATCTGCATTAGAAATTGAAGCAATTCTTTTACAGGTAAGTGTTTGTCTTATACTGTTCTACTTGAAGCAATGTCATGATTAGAAACGATCTACATTTTATAGCAACATGTCATTGTACTTTCTCCTTGAAAGACCCTTTTGAAGAGAAAATATTGTTTACATGGAAAGAATTCTTAACCAATTCCCTTCTACACAGCATCCGGCTGTATCAGAGTGTTGTGTTTTGGGCTTGCCGGACAAAGATTACGGGGAAGCTGTGTCTGCAATAATTGTGCCTGACACAGAGATTAAGAAAAAACGGGATGAAGAGTTGAAGCCTGCTGTAAGCTTGGAAGAACTTTGCAAATGGGCTAAAGTGAAACTTGCACCATACAAGGTATCATACCATACCCATCTTCTCACTCTTCCATTTCTTTAAGCAAGAAATTGTAACTCGGACCTTTTGGTTGGCTTGTCTTTTCTCCAGTTCATAAAGTAGACTATTAATCACAAAGAATGCCTTCGCATGCCAAAGTTTAGTGGCAAATGAACTTCAAACTGAAAATCCCCACATTCATCTGAGGTTGCTTTCAATATGCATTTAGGATTTTGAGAAAATGTTAGTCGGTGCTTCAGGCTTAAAATATGCTGTGCATTTAAATTTCCAAACTAGTTAAACCTCCCCGATCTTTCTCAACCAAATTCTATTCGTTCTGCGGCTGCTTTTGGTACTTGTCGCCCCTCCTCTCCTCTGCTTATTTTATAGTTGTGAAATCAATTTGGGGTCTCCAAATATATATTATGTCTCTGCAATAGTTCTCAGTGCTTCACATAATCATCAAGGCTACGCTACACTTGAGCATCGACTGACTCCAATTTACTAATAATCTTTTTATTCCACTATTCTTTCCAGCTACCAACTCGCTTGATCTTGTGGGACACGATGCCTCGTAATGCTATGGGAAAGGTGAATTACTAGTATTGTGTTCGTCTTTCAACGAATATTATCATTCATTTTTCTATTAATTGGTATTCTCCTTCAAAAAAATATTATTTTACCAGCGATATTCATTTCTAATTTCAGGTGAACAAAAAAGAATTAATGAAGAAAATAACCGCAGAAGTATAATAGCATCATGGTTTCAGACTACTAGGGGATTCAACATTGACGCGCACTAGTTATAGGAACACAGGTAAGCCGCGAGAAGAGTAGTACTTTGGAGGAAATTAAAACAGATATCCAACTTTGTGCGATAAGCAGGCAATTTATTATAAGCAAGGGAAAATTGTATAAATTGTTATGGTGGGTATCCGATTGTGTAATTTAGAAAAGCCATTAAATTATGGATATTTGGGTATAGCAATGTGAAATAGCCATAAGTTTTGGGTGTATTAATTATTTCATAAATAAAGATGTTGGATTTTAATAAATTGCTTTTTTCATTTATTTTCATGAGCCACGTTAAGTGTTACAAGACCTGTAAATCATTCAGTTCCCATGATATATCCAAAACGTAATGCTATCTCAACTGAGTAATGCTACTGTGAGTTCGACTTTATCCCATGTCATGTAGATTACTACCGCAAGGACCCAATAAAAAAAATATATATATATATACATATATAAATATTATATCAGAAGGTCAAAGATAATAATTTAATTTGATCAAATAAAGTCAAAAGGAAAAAGAAGGGAAATAAAAGTTTGTTTCATTGGTTTGATCTATCCAGGATGAATATTGGTATAAATTTTTTAATATATAATTCTTATACAATCTTCTTTTGGTCATAATTGTGAGGAGATTTCACTAGCATTACTCTTTTCAAAATTACTTTTCATTTGCTTTCATGTGATGTTAATAAAAGTTTGTTTGATTTGTAGTTCTGAAAATGGTCAGCACGAACTTAGACAACTGTTATCACATAATATTTTTTTTATAATTATTTGAAAGCGAACACTTTTATAAGTGTGTTTTCAAAAAATGAACCAAACAAAATTTTTGTATAGTTTTTAATTTTTTTTATGACATAAAATTATTTCTATATTTACAAGCCAAACATATTCTAATTGTTTCGATTTAATGAGAACATTACTAAAATTTAAATATTTAATCTAGGCCCTATGCCCCTCCCTCGGTAGAACAGTAATTTCGACTATTTATCTTTGTTTTCATCTATTTTTGTAAGGAAAGAGAAAACATTGCTAGAAGGGCTAAGCCATTCTTGCTTTTTATTTGATTTCCTTCCAAAATTTTTTCAACCCAAAGGTAATGGAAAGGGATTACACATGAGTAAAAATGCCCAGTAAAAAAAAAAAAAAAAACGACAAAAGGAAGAAGATAAAACATGTGCCTGCATATATAAATATTATATATATATATATATGTATGTATATAAAGAGATCATAAATGACTAAGTCACTAAGGTATAGCAATGAAAAAAATAATACAAGCAAAATAACATATTATCCTAAAATAAAATAAAAATATATATATTACATGGTTTTCTTTTTATACATCATTATTTTTTTATGAAAAAAGATTTTTGCACTAAATAGTTACAGTTAATAGTTAATTTGCTCTTTTAATTTGTTAATTATGCAACAAATAAGAAAATAAAATCCTTCATTTAGTTGTATTTAATATAAATAATTAATTAAAAATTATTTAATTAGTCAATTCACCGTAAGTGTTCGGTATCACTAATATTTGTTTATTAGTGATAGTGTGGAACACACCGCAGTACCTACAAGAAGAGCCCTGCATATACAAACGCGGTGTGTGTGTGTGAGAGAGAGGGAGAGAGAGAATGGAAGATGATGATTCGCATAAAATGGATGAAAAAGCTGTGAAAGGGCTTAGGCCACGAACTGGAGGCTCGAACTCTTGAGGGCATACAGATGGAGCACGTGGAGAAAGGTTTAGTCCGCTGTAAATTCGTGGTTCCCAAACACCTCTCAGTAATTTATTCAATAACCCCCCTATCATCCCATTATTTAATTTCATTTTGTCATCCCATTATATAATTTCATTTCTTGATTAACAATTTAGCATTAATTTGGGTGTACCCAAATCAATTTCATGTAAAACACAGGAGAATGATGGAAATTGGGTGCTTGGCATTGGACTACCAACAATTTTATATCAATATATATATATATATATATATATATATATGTCTACTTCACGAAAACTATGGATGACTCCAACTAATATAATCTCCGACATACAAAAGGAAAAAAATTTAAAATGTAGTAGTAGCTATCCATATGTTTCGATTTCCTCAAAGTTCCATTCACCAAAAACTTCATATTACACCAATTATTTTGATTGCACATCAGCATCAACAGCACATGTGTAAGGCCCATACTACCCCCAGACAATTATTTTCTTTTTTACTAGTGCCACCCACCACAATACACAACTCTTATCAGAAAAGGCAAGTGAGAGAGAGACGATGGAAGATGATGATGATGATGTATCGCAGAAAGTGGTAAAATGGATGGAAATGCTGAAAAAGGGGCTTGGGCACGAACTGGAGGCTCGGATTTTTGACGGCGTACAGATGGATCACGTTGAGAAGGGTTTAATCCGCTGTAAATCCGTGGTTCCCAAACACCTCTCAGTAATTTCTTCAATAACCCCCTATCATATAATTTCAATTCTTTGATTAAGATTAATCAAGACCCAAATCAATTTCATGATGATTTTCCATTTCTTCATGTAACACACACATACAGGACAAGGATGGAAATTGGCATGTCGGAGCTATGGCAACCCTAATCGACGCAATTGGGGCTGCTGCTATTTTCTCTTCTGCTCCCCAAGTCAAAGCTTCCGTTCTTCTCGACATATCATACTTTTCCACTGCTAAGATTCAGGTTCACTTTTTTGCCCTTCTGTCTCACAGTTATTGCAAAAATTTTACCTCCCTCCCGATATTTGGAAGAAAATAAATGAAAGGAATAGATAAATGTGTAAATATGATGTGTTGGACTAATTATATTTAGCTCCTCTCATTGTTTTATAATTTTTGTGTAAAAATATATAGAGTATTAATTATAATCAACCAATAATTTTACATAGCAATATATCTTAACATTATGTTGAAAATAAAAATATTTAACCATTAGATATATTTTACACATAAAAAAATAAAAAATCCTTTAACACATTATTGGAGATTCTCTAAAGTATGATCAAGATGGAACATGCCCCAAACAGGGCCTAAGGTCCCGTTTGGGAAGTGTAGTGTGATGTAATGTACTGCTCTAACCTAGAACAGAATAAGTATTTTGTAGTGTGATGTTCTAGAATGAGAACAAAACATGTTTGGTATTCCAAGTTTGCTTTATCGAATCATGGAACAAAAATATGGTAGAACATGTTTGGTAATGTATCTTGTTCTAAGAAATATAAGAACAAAACATGTTTGGTGTTCCAAAGTGTAACCAAAATTAATTTGATAAATAAAATAATTAAATATGTTGGATTAAAAATGTTTTTAATTAATATTTTCTTCAATACATTTTTTCTAATATAAAGTTACAGAAAATGATTGTATTACGCCGGACATATTGTTCCTCCATTTATATTAATTTATTATAATAACCATATAAATAAATTAAAAAATCCAAATATAGAACTGAAATAAAGTTTCAAAAGATCATAGTTTCATAAATTTTAATATATTACATACATGAGTATAAATAATATTACAACATTCGCCAACAGTCACAATAAAAGTTCATGAAATAAAATTAAACTTTCAATACAACATCATTTCTCAACAGCGACAATAATAAACAACAACATGAGCAAAAACAATAAGAATATAGTTATAGTAAGACAACAACAACATCCATAGATAATGTAGTTTTGCTGCTTTTGTTGAGCTTGCATAACAGCAACTACATCCTCCAATTCTTCCTGCACACGACCGCCCACTTGAGAGCCATGGTGCATGTCATCCAACCATATAAATGCACGATCATGTGACTAAATTAGAAAAAAGAGTTGTACATTATCAGAATGCACCTGTAACACTAAGATGTATTTAAAATATTCTTATTAATGCTTAAAATAAAACTGTATACCTCCCAAGCTGGACATCTATAGAATGATCGTCCATAATTCTTAAATGTTCCAGCCGTATAAAGATTCATGCGACCCCTCCCACATGCACAAGGTTCGTATTTACATCAATGGTGTCGATTTCAACCCAAGATCTCGGAAAGCTTCAGTACCTCCCAAGGGTACACTGTGAATCGCCTCAGTTGTAGAGAGAACCCTAGAACAAGATGGACCGAATAAGTATATTGTGTTCTCAGTGTTCCAATCGGTTGGGCTATTGCTCTCCATTCTACAGTGAAAAGGGGGCCTTGCACAATTTGGGAACACTTTGGAACATGATTTTTTTGTTCCGGAAGTTGGCCCAAAAACTGAATTTGTTCTACAACTGTTGGACACAATATATCCCATACCAAACAACCAAGTTTGCTCAATAGTGCCCATTTGTACTGTAGGGAAGGGCATAGAACAAGATGGAACATGCCCCAAACAGGGCCTAAAGGATTCAAATTTAGAGACAGTATGAGGAAATAGTTTTAATCCTGTTTAATTTTTATCGGGCTATAGTTTTTATTTTATTTTATTATTTTTTATGATAATTTTAAATTTTAAAATTTTTTTTGTTACTATGGTTGTTAAGTATATGTCTATACTTAAATTTTTTTTACAAAATTTACTTTAAACTTTGTAAAAAAAATTAGGATTAAATGTTCTAACAACCCTGATGTTTGAGTTTATTGCTCTCAAATTAAATCTCGGCCAAAATTGCTATCCTACCCCTCATCAAGTTTGATTTATTTGCTCTGACACCCTAAATGTCAAAATTACCCTTAACTTTATTTTCTTATGTCATTGTTCACATGTAGTATAAAATATGAAATGACAATATTACCCTTCACCAAAACCAACACTATCTCTTCACGGCCACCATGACAACCACCACCACCAAACCCACCCAAAACTTCCACCGCCCCTCTCTCTCTCTCTCTATATATATATATATATAATGCCTTTAAAATAATATTTTTTTTAAAGTATAATTAGTAAGAATTTAAGGTAAAAAAAAAAAAAAAATTAAGGTCAGTAGCCAATACATTGTTGACACGTGACGAGGTGTAGTAACATGTGGGGGGCATAAAGGTCTAACAAATTAGGAATAAAATATACTTTTAACAATGAAGGGTAATTTAGGCATTTTATTTTATCAATTTAAAATAATAATAATAAGTGTTAGAGCAAATTAAACCAAACCTAGTGAGGTTGTGATGACAATTTTGACAGAGATTTAATCTAAGAGTAATAAACCCAAACCTTGGGTACTCTAAGAGCATTTAACCCAAAAAATTATGTAGACATGTTGTCAAATTTGGGAGTTCTCTCTGAAACTCCCAAATGTGCCAATCATTCTCAAACAAATGATTTCCATTGCTTGAAAAAGGACACCTTGACATTAAAGATATCGAGAGGTTTGAGTATCGAGTTAGCAACAAGTTTTTTTTTTTTTCCCCGGCAAACATAGAACATTTTATAAAAACATAAAAACAATACAAGAGTCAATCCTTGCTAAGGCAAGGCGGTGGACCAGACCACATTTTGATCCAAAAAAAACAAGCATCCTGAACAAATGCTCCACATAACAAAAAACCTATATCGGTGCACCCTAAGGATGAAGATTCTAAACGGGTCCACATTAAAATGATGCGTAAGACCAGCCATTGGGCTTAGGCTCAGGCAAATATGAGCAATAACAAAGTGGCCCGATATATTCATATAGCCCAATTGACAAACAGGATCATTAATAGGGTTATGACCTAAAGCCCAGCTAGGCAAACCCATGTGAGATGGGGCCCTATCACAAGAACCAGAAACTTCCCCTGACCTCACCTCTGCACACCCAGCTTGCTCCATACCCAACGTCATTATGACATCATAAGACTCTACCATCACCGAGATACGCCACAACTGAAGGTCACCGTGAAGTCGATACTCCATCTCCGACAACGGAAACATTAACAGGTAGTAAATGTCCAACAAAGGGACTTGCCGATTTAAGTCATGGCCATAAGAAAGCCATTGATGATCATGTGATACCTTGAATGAGTGATTCCAATTGCTACCAATAGCAAAAGCATTATGGTCATGAAAATACATATCAGAGGCCAGTATACTCCAGATCTGATGAAGCATAAACATTGCCCTCGCAAGCTTGATGAAATTCGTCATCCAGATTTGCCCAAAAAGACTTTTATAATTAGAGGGGAAATGTCGACGATATCAAGACTGGAAAAGCGAAGATAGCCTCTGCAATCCTTCAACCACAGAATCAACGATCTCCCCAAAAAAACATCGCCGAGTATGGCGACAATCGAAAAGTCTAGTCACCCAAAATAGGCCTTCCCACCCATGGAAAGAGGAAAAGAAAGGCCAGCAAACGACCCTAAAAATAACAAAAATCAGGAAACAAATTACAATGGACATTAAAACAAAAGAAAGAGACGCAATACCCGGATCAAAAGGGAAGAGCAGCAAAGATTTGGTCCCAATTCATCCACTGTCCGGAATCCCTAATTTGAAGCCCCATAACTCCCTTGAGCCTTTCCGGCCGGACAAAGCAACGGACTGACGGAGAGGATAATAGACAGACTCCATCCCATAGACAGCACCACAAACTAGGATCAGTCCTAAACTCTAATAAACAGAGAACCCTAACACAGTGAGGAACAGTGACTCTGATGAACAGAGAAGAGAGAGAGAGAGAGAGAGCTAAATTTTTTTTTTCTAATGTGAATGTGGGTTACCAACAAGTTTATGTGAGACATATTGTTGTGTTTTTTACAGGAAGAAGTAGAGATAGAGGCAAAGGTAGTAAGACACAAGGGAAGGCTATTGGCTGCGGTGGTGGTTATCAACAAGAAAGGGAGTACAGAAATGGTTGCTTTGGGTAAACTATGGATGACTTCATCTAATGTCCAACATCCTCCGACGACTAGCAAGATCAATCCTAGCAAGCTCTGATTTTTTTTTTTTTTTTTTTGTACTCAATGTGCCCATTTTTCAGTTAAACTTTATTTATACAAAGATTTGGCTGCAATGCAATTGATTTTTTCCCTAATAACACTAATCTATAAGATTTGGCTTTCAATTTCAACCCCTAAAAGCAAAAATGCAGTAGTTATCCATATGCATCCATTTTCTTAAAGTTCCATTTTACCAAAAACTTCGTATCGAAACGAATGTAATATGAGACTTCATAGCCATGGAAGTTCCCAAACATTTATTTCGTTTAACTAGTAACACAACCACTGAAACTTGGAGTGACTTCAAAGCTCCTTTTTTTCAAATAATTTACGGTTTCGTCTGGTTCGGTTATTATATTTAGAGATATACTTAGAACCATTCTGACTACTGATTTGAATCAATAACATACGAGCACTTCATTTTTAATTAGTAAATAAAAAATGATGGGATATATATTCACTTATCAAATCAGATATGGTGGTTAATTACCAAATCTAATTTTATAATTAAAAGAGAACGTGCTCATGTGTTATTTGTTCACATTACCTGTCAGAATGGTATAGATCACCATTAGTAAGGATTTAAGTATTGTCCTTATATTTATATATAAGTGGTTTTCATTATTTACTACAAATTGATGGTTATTTTTAAATATGATCACTAAAATAATTTATTATTCACAATTCTATACTTTTGCAATGTACTTGAAAAGAAAATGTCACAAGTGCCCTGTAGAGTGTTAATATATTTCTTTTAGAGAAAAATGTAGAGTGTGTGTTCTCTAAAGGCAATTATGTCATTTAGAAAAAAAATATCAAGACAAGTAAAATGAAGAGTACGAAAATGTAATGTTAATATTATTTCCCCGTCACTAAAATTAGAAAAAAATTTAAAATATTTGGGGTAAATTCCACTGACACCTCCTAAAATGTTGATCAACGTCACTTAACGAACAATCAATGATTTTTTTTACATTGACACCTCTTGAGGTTTCAAAAATGTGCATTGACACCCCCCTCTAGCTAGGGGTGCAACTTAGATTGGGTAACCCAAACTCAACCCGAGTCCAGCCCAATTTTTTACAGGCTTGGACAATCATTTTTACAATTAGGGTTAGACTTGGGTTAAAAAATTTCAACTCAAATTTAATTAGGGTTGAGCTTAGGTTAAAGTGCTAGAAAGCCAAGTCAACCCGAACCTGAATTCTAATATTATTTTTATATTTTTTTTTTACTTTTAAATACATTATATATAATATTTAAACTTTGATTTCTTTTTTTCTTTTCAACTTATTTTTGTTAAATCTTAACTTATTGTATATTAATATTTAGAAAAACTTCTTGTTTAAGAATAACTTACAAAAAGTCTTTAAACTTTTTATTGTTTAAGAGTAATTTAATCTAAAACTAATTCAAGATCATATTAAATTTTTAGTGCAAAGATTAGTCGTATGAGTAACCCAAATTAACACGAAATTTAACTCGGGATCTAACCCCGAATTGCAAGGCCGAATTTAAAAGTAAAAGGATGAGTTAGGCTCGGGTTGAGTAGTTAAGATTAAGGATAAAGTTAGGGTTGAACTTGGGCTTAACATTTCATATGGTGGGTTGCGCTCAAGTTATACCATAAACCCGCCCAACCCGCCAAGTTGCAGCCCTACCTCCAGCCTCTTAAACCATATAAAATTACCTTTCAACCATTGGACTTGTCAACAACTCCATTTAAATTATAAAATTACAAATTTAACCTCCTAACTAAATTTAATGGATCAAACTAACATTTTTATCTCTTATAATTTATATATAACAATACTTAAACCACCATCACAATATTAAAATAAAAAAGAAAAACGAAATTTTTTTTTTTTTTAAATATCCAGAAAACTGTACACCACCACCACACCCAAATACCATAATAGAAAAATAAAATAAAAACATCCATGGACAACCCATACTTATACGTCTCGAACGCCACCAAAATCACCACCACACCAAAACAACGCCACAAACACACCCAGACGCTACCAGAACCGTCATAACCACCACAATAGAAAAAATAAAAAATAAAAATTTTAAAACACGTTCATAACCTAGACACCACCACAACCACACCTAAACAATACCACAACAACAACCACTAGAGTAAATAAATAAATAAACAACAGTCATGTTCAACCCAAACACCGCCACCATCACAATAGAACGAAAAAAAAAAATGAAAATGAAAATAAAAACAGCAATGGTTATTTTTATCTCAACATGCCCACCAATTCTCTCCTCTCCTCTCACACCCACTTTCCTTCTCTTACTCATTTCAATCACAAATCTAACACCACAACATTTCCCCCCCCCCCCCCCCCCCCCCCAATTCCGCGAATTAACTTGCCCTATCTGCCGTCTCCTCCTCCACCAGTTACGTTTCCCTCCATCGGCCATCGATAACTCCTTCACCAGGTAGAAGAATGACAAGGGGTGCAATTTACAAAAAAAAAAGTTAATAATATAACATAGTAAGAAAGAAGGAATGGGAGAGATCGGAAAGATAGTGAGGGAGTATTGGCGACTAAGTACTAAAATGAAAAAAAAAAATCAGGAGCAAATATGACATGTGAACCACATGGGTGTCATTATTAAAAAAAGTCGTTGACATGCATTTAAGTAATATTGGACGAAACCTCATAAATGACATTGACTGAAACATGAAGGGGTATCAATGAAATTTACTCAAAATTTTGCAAATACAACTTTATAACTTTTGAGAAATTTATATATCAAAAAATAAAAATAATAATAATAGTGCCGCCCTCCATCCATTGTTTCGTGGGTAGACAGTAATAACAAAATTTTCCAAAAAATCTTTTCATTTTCATCAAATTTTTAAAGGATTAAAAACCTTGGTTTCTTTTTTTACTTTTTTTTTTTATTATTATTATTTGATTTAATCCATATCTCCTTTTTTTTTTTTTTGTTTTAATCTCCTTCCAATGATCTGGATTGCACGTGAGTAAAGTACCCCGACGAATATATGATTTTCTTTTATATTCTTTTTTACTAGTGCTGCCTACACACACCGCACACCACATTACAACAGTACAAATCTAGTGAACAGTACAAGAGTAGTGTTGATTTGCAGATTACTAATTTATGAGAGAGAGAGAATGGTGGAAGATGATTTATGGCAGCAAGTTGTATTATTTCTGGGGCGTGGCCACGAGATTGAGGCTCGAACTCTTGAGGGCATTCAGATCGAGCACGTCGAGAAGGGTCTAATCCGCTGTAAATTCGTGGTTCCCAAACACCTCTCAGTAATTTCTTCAATAACCCCCTATCATTATGAAATTCATATAATTTCATTTCTTAATTAAAAATTAATTTGGGTATTTTCCTGTAACACACAGGACAAGGATGGAAATTGGCAAGTCGGAGCTATGGCCACCCTAATCGATGTCATTGGGTCTGCTGCTATATTCACCTGTACTCCCCACCTCAAAGGATCCGTTGTTATCGACATATCTTACTTTTCCACGGCTAAGATTCAAGTTCACTTTTTTATCCTTCTCTTCTGTCTGTGTGTATTATGTGTGTGTGTATATATGTGTGTGTTTATTTTCATATATTCAGTTATTGCAAATTTTTTACTCCCACCCTGTATTTAGAAGGAACCCAGGGAAATAAATGAAAGGAAAGGAATAGTTAATCATATTCTTTTCCTTTTCTTCAAAACCCCCAAGCATGGAGCCAATCATTGTCAACAAACGAAATGATCTTTGGCCCTTGGGTGCTAGAATATTGGCGTAGTGTTCCCCACCCGAATTCATAACTACCTTACCGACCCTGTCTATTCAGGCGGGCGGAGGTTCAGTGCATTATATGGATCACGAATTGGATCTGACTTTTAATTATAACGCTTGCCTCTAATCTAAAAACTTAAATTATTGAACAGTATTAAGAGGGAATAAGGGATACACTAAAATACAATCGCGGACTTGTTTTGTTTTGTTTTGTATATTTGTCTTGCTTAAATTTACATAATTTTTCTCTTCAATTTGTATGAAAATTTTGCTTAGTAAAAAATTTTCAAGGGTAAATTGTAAATGTAATAAACGAAAATATTATCAATCATTAATTAAGTTTTTATCTTATTATTACAAAAATCCTGGGTGTGTCTGGCAACAGGTTTATATTGACATATTGTTGTGGTATTTCAGGAAGAAGTAGAGATAGAGGCAAAGGTTGTAGGACAGACGGGGAAGATTTTGGGAGTAGTGGTGGTTATCAGCAAGAAAGGGGGTGGAGAGATGATTTCTTTGGGTAAACAATGGATGGCTTCAACTAATCAACCACATACTCCGCCTACCAACATCAATCCTAGCAAGCTCTGATTTGATTCTGCATTGAATGTGCTCATTTTTCAGTTAAACTTGATTTTTAGAAAAGATTGGGTTAGAGTTCTAAGCCCCTTTTTCTCTTGAAGACATTTTACTATTTGGTTCGGTTCCATTTTATATAATTTACCACTAACTAATTATTATTTTTAAATTTTATCACTAAAATAATCCAATATTTGCAATTCTATACTTTTGCAATCTGATTGAAAAGAAAATGTTGCAATTATGAATTACCCTGTAAAGTGTTGGTACATATATATATATATATTATTTTTTAAAATAAAATTGTGGATTGAGTATGCTTTCTTTCTAAAAGAAGGGTACAACAATGTAATGTAAATATCTTTTCTAAGCAGCTAAATTTTAAATTTAAAAGAAAGAACGAAGAAAAAAAATTTATATATCAAAGTAAAAAAATGTGCTGCCCACTGTATAGTTTTCTTTATCTTTTTTACTAGTGTTACCCACCCAATTTGACATTAGTTACATTGCAACTCTATAAGAATAGCCTTTCAAATCGACGTTTGGCGTATGAGATGCAGGGGGGGAGAGAGAGAGAGAGAGAATGAGAATGGTAGATGATCATTGGCAGAAACAAGAAAGTGGTAAAATGGATGGAGAATCTGTGAAGGGGGTATAGGCCACGAGATTGAGGCTCGGACTATTGAGGGCGTAAAGATCGAGCACGTTGAGAAAGGTTTGGTCCGCTGTAAATTTGTGGTTCCCAAACACCTCTCAGTAATTTCTTCAAAAACCCTATCATCTCAAATCAAATTGATGATGATTTCCGGCAGGTAGGAGCTATGGCTACCCTAATCGACATGATTGGGGCTGGTGCCATATACTCCTATACTCCGCAGGTCAAAGCATCTACAAATAGTGGCTTAGCAACAAGATAATTATGTAATCGTCTATGTGCTTTGGGTACACAAATGGATGACTTCAACTAATCTCCAACATACTGTCTACCAAGCTCTGATTTGTTCTGCACTCATTTTTCAGTTGAACTTGATTTATAGAAACATTGGACTAGAATCCAGATGATTTCTTCCTAATAACTCAAATCTATAATATTTGGCTTTCAATTTCAATCCATAAAAGCAAAAATGTACCATAAACTTCATATCACACGAATATATAAGAAGTAATAAGCTGATAACCATGCAAGTTCCCAGGCATTTATTTCCTGTAACTAGTAACGCAGCCATAGATAGCCAAACAGTTTCCCAGATTTCAAAAGAGAGCGAGTACTACAAGACACTCAGAGAGCCTTGAGAATATCATCAGCACTGGAAACAGTGAACTCTCCACCTGATTCAACATTTGCAGTCTTCACCTTCAAATCATCAACCAATAGAGCAAACCTGCGGGAGCGAGTTCCAAGCCCTTTTTCTACAAGGTCAAGCTCAAGGCCAAGAGCATGGGTATAGATCGCTGAACCATCGGCCAGAAACTTAACATGCTTGTTTTCAGGGAATGACTTTGCCCATGCCTTCATCACAAACGGATCGTTGACTGCAATAGAGCAACGCACCATAATTAGTTGTAGAATTTTTTTTTTTCCTAGTTAATTAGTTGTAGAATTGAGATCAAAGAAGTAAACCAAGTATCCTCAACAAGCAGATATCCTTGTTGGCCTAGTTTTTATTGTCTACAATTTTAGTTGTAAAATTTAGATGGAAGAAGTAACTTGAGCATCCTTGACCTATGTCATATACACGCTTAAAATGTCCACCACTCTGCTCTGAAATTGCAGATGTGCAAATTGATAATGGATTCACGATGGACATGTTTAGGTAGTGTTTCGAGGAGCTCCTAACATCCAAATGTCTTCCAAAGAAAAGTGAAATATCATCCCCACACATAATTTACAATTGAATTCTTAACTGATAATATTACATAATCATACTTATCAAAAAAATGATATTACATAATCTTAAATAATATTTATGGTGAATTACTCTGACCTCCTCTGAGGTTTAGCATATTCATCCATAGATTAAACATTTTCTTTAAAAAAAACCCACTTTACCCTCACACTAAACATCCAAATAGCTGGTGTTTTGCTAACGCGATTAAAAAAATGTAGATCCCTATTTTGAATGACAAAAAATGTACACACTTTACTTTCTTATTTTCTCTCTAATACCCTTCTTGTTCTTTCACTAAAAGATCTCCCCCTCAATTTTTCTCTCTTCCCTCTCTTCATCTCTCCTTATCACTTCAATGTATCAAATTAGATACATACAAGTTCTGGTAATGAAGTTCAGTAAAATAGATGTAAATAGTAAGTATGCATTTTAGGTACATACACTTAAATATTACTATTTCTAGTAGCTACACTCTTACATTTGAGGAGCTACTTTCAGAATATAAGGATGTCTGTCCCAACTAGAATCTAGGTTATACATTCTTAGCTCATCTATATTTTCGTTTAACTCTAAATAGTCCATATATAGCTTCGTCTTTTTTCTTTTCCAATATCTCTCTACGATTTGGATGCCTCAACAAGGGCCAAGTTTATTTATGCTACCATGTCAGGCTTCAGCAATGATACTTGATTACCCTAACCAATAACTCAGTGCCTTGGAGCAAGCCTTTTAATTTGGCTAATCAATTGTATATTAAGCATTTATGAACAAAATTTATATGTAGCTACTTGAGAGCCAAGTAAATAAAATTAACAAACGATAATTTAAAATTCAGGCGGTTATAATTGCTAAACTATAAATTTGGAACTATACTTTTATTGGCCTTTTACCTAGGTAAATTTTTTACAAACTAACTTGTGAATATAATATATATATATATGTGTGTGTGTGTGTGTGTGTGTGTGTGCATCTATATGTATTTGTATATTGTGTCAGGACATCACTATATACTTTTGACGTTAGGTAGTTGTTTACCATCTTTTTGCACTAGTGCTTAAGGCTTCTGTGCTCTCAAGAGATCGTGTTCTTAACTTCAGAAGCCAACTTAATCAACACTGGTTTTACCATGTCAGGTCAAACAAGAGGGCCATCTTATTGTTTCAAACATGGCATGCCATGAAGGAATTTTTTAGTATTATATCAAAAACTTGTATGATATATGTGTGTGTATATTCTGATGCACACTATTGATTTTAGGTTGGTTGGGTCCTTTTAAGAGAGATAAAGACTGTGTAAGAGAGAGAGAAATAGAGAGGGTGGCGGCATAATGGGTATAGGCAGTGTTATGGCTTGAGAAAATTTTCATAATATAATAATGGTATATCAGACATTAAAAATAACTGTAAGGTTAAGTTTGTAATTTAATGTACATAGGGGCAATATTGGCACTTCAATTCAAAATTCTTAACACATCTAACAGTGACTTAACTCTAGGAGGGTTTTAGCGATTTTTGCCAAAACACGGGATGTTGACCACAGTTTTGACCAAGGTTGAATTTATGGGTGAAAAGCCCAAACCACTACGGAGTTCAGGGTAATTATCCCTAATTCTTCCTACCCATAAAAAAAATATATATAAATAAATAAATATATATATATATATATATATATATATATATATAAGTAATTGTAAACTCGCCCTCTGAAAAAAATTTAAGTTTTGCAGTTTTCTCGCTCGTGCTTTTGCTTTTGTTCTGTATGACTAAGTCCTTGACTAGCAAAATTCCTCAAAGGAAACTGTGTACTCCTATAAAATTTTTCACTTGCTGACCTAGTTATCAGCATCTAAAATTTCAGTTTTGTATCCTCCCTTTTCATAGTTTAATTTAAATGAATTATTTTCACAGGAGCAGCTCTCCCCAAGGAGGATTTCATTTCAACAATCAGATTGATGGTTCAATATCTTGTACGCACAGCTGACATTCTTAATGGAAATGGTTTAAAGGAATAATACTCTGGACTCTTAAAAATAGCAATGTTTATTATAGGCTGCCAATAAAAATAAATAAATAAAAGCATTAAAAGTTGAGAAGTACCGCTAATCAACAAAATTTCATCAACGCCCTTTGACTTCAGCTCCTCTGCTTTCTCAATGAAACCTGGTACATGCTTCAAGCTAGCATCCACATAAATTAGAAATACAAACAAGACAATTTCAACAAGATGAAGCAGTGTTAAGCAAATTTTTTTTTTTTTTTGGTCAATTTTTTTTTCTTTCTAATCTTAATTTTTCGCAAGAGGCAAGATTACACCACACATAACCACGCAACAACCTTAGAAATATTTGGTGATACGCATGACATTAATGTACAAAGCAGCTTCTGTTTAGAGGGGCTTGTTTCAATTATAAGAAAAAACTAATCATTGTTTGAGATGACCTCTATTTTTCTTATTAGCTCGGCGCACCCACTCTTGACAATGACTCTGTACCTTCAAAGATCAGCATTACTCCAAGAAAAAATATGAATCCATCCAAATCAAGTTGGTTCTGCTACCAGAACCAATGCTAAATCCCTGATATTTTGACAACTTTTTTCCAATTATTATGACATCACAAGATTTTTTATTAATACCTCCACAGAACTTCAATCATTTGATTCTCCTGGCTCTAAAAGAGCACCGACTTATTCCTGTACTTTATAAAATTTACCGTCTTCAATCACTGAACCAAGTCAAGAACAGCTGAATTTTTTATTTTTTATTTTTTATTTTTTATTTTTCTCTTCATAAGTAAAACTTTTCACTTTCCAGAACTTCATTCTTTCTAACCCCAGATATTCATTCTCAATTGATTGTAAGATCTAGCTTATTCTGCTTCTTTGATTTCTCATCATATTTAAATAACAAAAATAGTGTTAGGTATTCATGTACCAATTGTCAAATATGTTTATTCCAATCCCAACCAACTTTTATGGTTTTATTAATAGGAAGTTGTTCCTTCAGTCTCAGCTTTTGGTTCTTGTTTTTTCAATTAATTACAACAATTCACAATTTGGTCAATCGCTACACAGATCTCAGAAGCTCAAGATAACATATATCACTTACATGGTTCCAAATTGCAATTGATATATAAAGCATTGCAAACAATGAATCAGGGTAATATAACATTAATTTTAAAAATAAAAGAGAAAAATGAACGAAGCTAGAAGAAACCTATAGATTATCACAAACAACCATTTCAGCTGCCCTAATCGTGAAAAACCATTCTCACAAACAACCATCTCTTGATTCGTGACGCACAAGCATAGGAACTGAAAGAACATATTGTACTCCCAACCAAACCATTTCCCCCTTTTACTGTGAAGTCAGTGAACTTTCAATTCTTTTCCATCGTATTCTCGGCAATCAAACAGAGGAATCAGTAGAGCACAATCAAAGTAGAAGGCTAAGGTTGATGATATTTACCTGCAAGTTGGCGTGAAGGCACCGGGGACACCGAAGAGAATGATCTTTTTACCGGCGGCGAGAGAGTGAACGGAGACACTCTGAAGCTTATCGTCCTCGTCGAAGTAGGCCAGAGTACCGTCGGGAAGAACGTCGCCAGCAGCAATAGGAGCCATCTGATCTTTCTTATCCGATGATTCGATACACCAAATCCGAATGGTCTCACGATGAATCGGATGTTCTGGTGCTTGTGTAGTTATGTGTGTGGGATTATACAGTGAAACCAAGGACAGTTCCTTAGCTATATTGAATAATTTGTCTCGAGTCCGGTCCAAACCCTAAATAAATGGGGCCTTACACAATTTAATTTTAATTTTTTTTTTTTTTTTTTTTTTTGGTAAAATATACTCAGTGAAGTTTGGCAAAAGAACACTATGATAAAAGTTACTTGTTTTTTAGACAATGACACCCTCTCAATGAAATTCCATCCAAACAAGACCTTCAATCATATAAAAAGACAAAATTGTTCCTTAATATTAAATTCACATTAAAAAAATAAAACTTGGCGCCAGATTAACAACTAGTGAATTGCAAAATATAAAACCTGTATTTTTTTTTTTTACCAAATTTTTGTTCCTATTTTATTTACTATATTATCTATTAATTTACAAAAAAAAAATATTGGTTTTTTTTTAAAACAAAAATTTCTGTCCTATTTTCTTTACTAAAATGGGGTTTTCTTTACAAAAAAAATATTATAAAGACAATATGGGCTTTTGTTTATGCGGTTTTCTAAATATGGGGTTTTTTTTTATTTTCTTTACAAGAAAATTTTGTTCTCGTTTTTTTTACTAATATGTGATTTTCTTTGTTCTTTTTTTTTTTTTTTTTTTTTTTTTTTTTTTTGGTTATCAATTTTGTTATTACCATAAAAACGGAATGGAAAATAACTAAATAACTAAAATAGCGAATCCAGTGTGGGTTACACAGCGAAGTAACACCCAGTAGCATCAATTAACTCTTGAAAGACATCATTCAGAGGTTGGATAATCCATCCATAATCTCTCACATTTTTTTTAAGGCAAAATTGAACAACATTAACAAATATACACCCTTTTAGATTGGTCAAACTTTCTTCTTTTTGTAAAAAATTGAAAATTTATTATAGCAAAAGAAATATGCAATTTTATTATCAATTTTTTTATTTTGAGAAATTGTGAGTTATCAATTTTGTTATTTTGAGAAATTGTGGCAAAATGAAAACAAATGGTTTTTGTTTTTTTTACCAAAAATTTTGTTATTAATTCATACATGGATACGTCCAATTTATTAATTTGTTTGTACATATACATATACATATATATATATATATATATATATATATATAGTCTATATTCCTAGCATTGTGGCCGTTTTGTTCATAAAGGGTAGGTTCATCTAATTTATTAACTTATAAAGTTTAAAAGGTCAACTAAATGGTCAAAGGGCAATTTGGTCAATTTTTCATGTCAGTTGGCTTCAAGGGGTGCCTTTGTCCACTTTTCAATCTTCAAGGGGTGTCATTGTTCCAAAAATAAGTCACTTTCATCTTAGTGTCTTTTTGGCAAACCTGAGGAGATGTTGCTGTACTTTACTTTCTTTTTTTTTCTTCTAACCTGTCTGTGTTTGGAATATAAGGATTTGGTAGGATTTACTGTAAATAGGAATTGAATTTCACAAGATTTGGAGTCCCAAAATATATAAGTATACTAAAATTCCACGAAAATTGGTACAAAGTAGTTTGGTTGCAAAAAAGGAAAAGAACTGAAATTTTTTAAACTTTTCTAAAAATGTTTTTTTCAAAAAATATGAAAAAATTCTAATTTTCCGTGAAAGTTGTATAATTATATTTTGATTCCCTATTATGCTCTTACTAATTGTTTATTCATTCGTCTCTTTCTTCATCCATATATTAGAGTTCTGTTATTAGGTTACAACTTTATGATTCTTAAAATTAAGAGTTTTCTCCACACTCGCAAAAGAAATGAGCTTATCTAATACAGTAGGAGAGTCCTAATATATATTGCAACCTTAAAAAAAAAAAAAAAAAAAAAATTAACTATTCAATTATAAAATTTGTATTTGGACATACATATATATATATGTATATATATATATATATATATATATATATATATATATATTCATAATCCAATTGTATATATATTTTTATGCTATGTATATTATTTATATTAAATAAATAATGGTAGTTTTGGTATATAAAATCATTTTCGTTTTACTTTCCTGTCGTCCAAACTAATGAAACAATATTTTCTCACAATTTTCTTTAAAAAAAATTCATGCTACCTAAATGTATAAGGCTCCGTTTGGTCAAATAGAAATAAGCAAGAAAAAAAAAAAGAAATGGAAAATAAAAGAAAAGTGAAGTGAATGAAAATAAAAGTTATTTTCTATCAAGCATCTTATTAGCATGAAAATTTGTTGAGGAAAATTGTTTGAAAATATTAGTTTGTTAGTTTAGATAGCATGAAAATGAAAAAAAAGTGATTGTGCATAACAAAATTACCTTTATGATTTCAAATACTAAAAAAATAAATAAATTTATGTTTGATGATGCCTATTTTTATAAAAGTTTTAATAAAATGATGAATTATTAAATTTAATAATATAATTATTTATATTCATTTATATTGTTTAAATTAAAACAATATTTCAATACTTCTTAAGTAGGAGTAGAACTAACTATCAAAAATAAGGAAACTTAAAAAAAAAAAAACAAATGGGCTCATGGACTCATAGAGGTGTATATATATATATCATATATAATGTATATATTTGGAACAAAAAATATAAATAAATCATCCAAAGAGTATTGCAAGAGAACATGTTTAGAAATAACTTGCCTTTTAGAAGTTCACTAAAATATAAATTGTTAGAGAACTTGTCTCTTTGAAAATCAGTAGAAAATAAACTCAGTTAGAAAAGAAAGAAATTAGTTATTTTACATGATTGACTTGTTGGATAAAATAGAAATGTCAAATAAAAAGAAGTAATTTTCACGAGAAAATATTATTTCCGCGTGTTTTGTGTAAGAAAAGTTTTGGGGATGGGAACTATATTTTCTATTACAATTCTTTTTCCATCTATCCAAACTCTAAAAAAATTTAAAAAATTTCGGTTTATTTTCTTTTCTATTTGATTCCATTTAACCAAATGAACCCTAATAGAAACTTTACTTTCTTTTCCTTTACTTCACTTTCTTTTCCGGTCACTTTCCACCATCAAATTTCAGCTAACCAAACAGGCCTTATGGGATTTGTAATTTACTTGTCCAAAAAGTTTGTAATTTATAATTTATTCTAAAATCATAATTAAAATTTCATTTTAAATTCAATTTTTTTAAAAAAAATCCAAATGCCATCAGAATTTGGTTCCAAGACACTAGGTTTTTGTGATTTACACATGCAGAGTGCATAAAAATAATCTGAGAGACAAGAGTGCATAAAAATTGATAAAATCAATAGACCGAATTCGAAGTTTAAGTATGAGTCTATGACAGAGTGATTCAGTTTTGATTTTAAAAGTAAAAAAAATCATTGATCAGTGTTCATTTAATATATATATATATATACACACACATACATTTCTAAAAACTATACTCCTTTTATGAGATGTTGATTTCCTTGTAGCAAATTTTTCTGCCACGCTTTTTGCTTCACACCATATCTTAAATATGATAACTACAGTTCAACAAATTTATCATACCTCTTATGAATATGATATTAAAATTGATACAAACAAATATAAAATTATGAAAAGATGAGAGAGAGATGCAAAGATTAGGGAGAAAGAGACTGTTGTAAAGATGAGAGAGAGAAAGCTGATATTTTCATTCCTTTTTTTTTTTTCACTTTACAATTATGTACATTAGGTGCTTATTTATAGGCATAATTTTCGTGAGCAACAAGTAGCTTCTACAACAAGCTGCACTGCCACTCAATTCCTTTAATCAATATATCAAATAGAAGTGGACCCCACAAAATCATATGTATATATAATACTCCCTCTTACTACACTAAGAATATGTCTCGTTAAAACCTTGCTAAGGAAAACCCAGTAGGATAAAACCCCTAGCGGAGGAAAAAAAGTACAGTGTCACTGTATATCTAAAAATGGTATTGCATAGGTTAAAATTGCCTCATTAAAATCTTGCAAGAAAAACCCAGTGGGACAAAACCTGGACGAAGGAAAAAGAGTACAGTATGCCAATACCTTTTTGACTAATTTCTTCCCCTCATTGTTGCATTAGTTCAACTCTGAAGATCATTTAGTTTACGCATTCAAATGTTGTGCACCAGCTTCTTGAATGTTGTAGCTAGAAGCGTTTTAGTGAATAGATCTGCTAGATTTTCACATGAACGTATCTTCTGAATATCAATATCACCCTTTTTCTGGCGTTTATGTGCATAAAAGAATTTTGATGAGATGTGTTTGGTCCTGTCACTTTTAATATACCATTTTATTTCATATGTGCAATGCATGCCACATTATCTTCATATAATACTGTTGAGCTATCTTTTATTGATGAGAGACCACATGTTATTCGAATATGTTGGATCATTGATCTCAACCAAATGCATTCCCTGTTTGCCTCATGAATTGCGAGTATCTCAGAATGATTTGAAGAAATTGCAATCATTGTCTGTTTCATAGATCGTCATGATATAGCAGTGCCGCCACAGGTAAACACATATCCTATTTGTGAATAAACTTTTTATGGGTCAAAGATATAACCAGCATCTGCATATCTAATTAATTGAGAATTTGGTGTTTTTGAATAAAGCAATCCCAAATCAATTGTGCCACGAAGATATCGCAATATGTGTTTGATTCTATTCCAATGTCTGCGGGTTGGTGCAAAACTGTACCTTACTAATAAATTGATTGAAAAAATTATGTCAGCTGATAGGGAAAAATAACCCTAGCCTATCTTGACTTAAAGAAAAAGGGAATTAAATATTGACCGGCCACCAGATTTCTCCAACTCTCAGACGATAATATCTCGTTATTAAGGATAACCATTCTATTAGATAAGAATGATGACAAATCGTATCTAGGATAGGATTTGTCATGGGGTAAGTTCAAATCTTATCAAGGATAGGATTTCCATGAGGTAGGCTCCATGGGCTAAGGACGATGAAATTCCTTTATCAAGAATAAGGGAAGTGATTATAAATACAAAGATGACTTGGGAATAAGGTACACACAAAAAAACTCCTACTAAGCGAATTACGATTAAAATTCTCT